TGCAACATCAAGAACTGCGGCGACATTTCCACCGATCCCGACTTTGGCATCCCCACTGCGTCGCAAGTTCTGTGCACCGGCTCTACCTACAACTCGAGCTGCACCTACACCTGTAATACGGGCTTTCTGGCCGTCGGGACAAGCACCTACACCTGCGGACCGGGTGGGCTTGGCGACTGGCAGCCGCATCCGTTGTCGTTCTTCTGCTCGGCCACCGACGTGACGCAAACACTTGTTGACGCGCCGCCTCTTGGCACCGTCTACCAGGCCGGTGAGTCGTTTTCTATCGGAGTCGTCGCCCGCAACAGCCTTGGCTCCGTCGTCGACACTGGTGACGACCTCATGGAAGTCACCCTGCCCGACTTTGGCATCGTTGCTGTCGGGAGCTATGCGGGCTACGGGGGTATCTACAACATTTCGGTCGATATGACTGGCGCGGCCGATACTGCGCCCGCGCTTGCAGGCACGTACCAAGCCACAATGTTGGTCAACAAGCGCGAGCATGCCATCTCGCGCCGCTGACCTACGTCGTCGTCCCTGCCGCTGCTGCCGCCGCCGGCTCGGAAGTCTCCGGCTCTGCGCTCACAGAGGGCTCCTTCTCCGGCGCCACTGTCACGCTCACCATTGTTGTCCGCGACCTGTACGGCAACGCGCGGGTGAGCTCGGACGATGCAGGTCTCATCGAGGTCGTGCCCAAGCGCGGCGCCCTGAGCCTTCCAGTCAGCCTCGGCAACCTCGGCAGCGCCGAGTACATGGCTTCGTTTACACCTGTCGAGGGAGGCCTCTACACCATCTCTGTTGTCGTTAATGGCCTGGCACCGTCTACCAGGCCGGTGAGTCGTTTTCTATCGGAGTCGTCGCCCGCAACAGCCTTGGCTCCGTCGTCGACACTGGTGACGACCTCATGGAAGTCACCCTGCCCGACTTTGGCATCGTTGCTGTCGGGAGCTATGCGGGCTACGGGGGTATCTACAACATTTCGGTCGATATGACTGGCGCGGCCGATACTGCGCCCGCGCTTGCAGGCACGTACCAAGCCACAATGTTGGTCAACAAGCGCGAGCATGCCATCTCGCCGCTGACCTACGTCGTCGTCCCTGCCGCTGCTGCCGCCGCCGGCTCGGAAGTCTCCGGCTCTGCGCTCACAGAGGGCTCCTTCTCCGGCGCCACTGTCACGCTCACCATTGTTGTCCGCGACCTGTACGGCAACGCGCGGGTGAGCTCGGACGATGCAGGTCTCATCGAGGTCGTGCCCAAGCGCGGCGCCCTGAGCCTTCCAGTCAGCCTCGGCAACCTCGGCAGCGCCGAGTACATGGCTTCGTTTACACCTGTCGAGGGAGGCCTCTACACCATCTCTGTTGTCGTTAATGGCCTGCCGCACCCGTCGTCGCCGTGGGTCATTGTCGTCTCGGCCATCTGCCCGCCCGGCTTCCAGTCGGTTGACGAGTCGACGTGCGCCGAGTGCCCCGAGAACACCTTCTCAGAAGTCATCAACGCCGGCCGCTGCGAGCTCTGTCCTGAGAACATGCGGTCACCCTCCATCTCGCCGTCGTGGGCCAACTGCACGTGCGCGCCCAACTTTTGGCTTGGCCTCGAGGGCCACCGCCGCAATGCCGGCTGTGTCGCCTGCCCGCGCGGCGGCGAGTGCCGCGGCGGCCTCGCTCCGCCCGTTGCCGCCAAGGGCTTCTTTGACGTCTCGCCCAACGGCGACGGCTCGCAGTTTGAGCAGTGCCGCAGGCCCGGCGCGTGTGCAGGCGGCTTCCAGCAGTGTGCTGCAGGCTTTGAGGGCTTTATGTGCAACACGTGCTCCGCCAATCACTACTCGGATGGCTCGGGCGCATGCCGCAAGTGCCCGCCCGGCTCGTCAGGCCTCATGATCGCCTTTGTTCTCGCCATCGTCGTCACCGCCATCGGCGTTGTCGTCTTTATGCTCCTCACTTATGCCGGCGAAGCGACCGCCATTGCGGACGGGCAGGGTGCGCTCGTCACCGCCGAGATGCGATACACACGCGGCTCGTACTCACACCGCCGCCGCGTCCCGCACTCGCTGTCGCAGGCCATTGTGTTCTTCCAGATCCTCGGCGTCATTGCCAAGTCCTCGCTCCAGTGGCCGTCTCGGGTCCAGGAGACGCTCCTCATCTTTAATGTCATCAATCTTGACCTTGACATCTTTGCCTCTGAGTGCTCGCTCTCGTCGTTTGAGGCCAAGTACGCGCTCTCGACCCTCTACCCGCTCTTTTTCCTCCTCATTTCCACCCTCGCCTGGATCCTCATCAAGTCGGTTCGCTACTCGTTTGCCCGCCTCCGCACCCTCCCTGCCTTTGACGCGCCGACGCTCATTGTCCTTGAACGGACTGTCATTATTGTTGCGCCGCTTCTGTACATCCCTCTCTCACGGTCGTCGCTCATTCTCTTCGACTGCTCGCGGCTCGCCGACGGCAACTACTACCTCGACGCCGACCTTGGACGCCGCTGCTTTGACGCTGCATGGCTCCGGCTCCTTCCGCTTGGTCTCATCGCCGTCTGCATCTACGTCATTGGCATTCCTCTCTACATTGGCGTCGCGCTCTACCGCTTCCGCCACAGGCTCGCTGAGCCATCCATCCTCGGCCGCTTCGGCTCGACCTACCGGCTCTATCGCAACGCCTACTTTTCACCGAGCTCCCGCTCCTTTTTAAGCGCCTCGTTGTCGTCGGCGCCTCGCTTTTCTTCTCTGAAGCCCAGATCTGGCAGGTCTCGGCCCTGCTCGCTCTCTTCACTACCGCTACCGTCCTCCACTCGCAGCACGAGCCGTACTACGAGCCGCTGTACAACAAGCTCGAGCTCCGCCTCAACGTCTGCGCCATGATTGTTCTCGGCTTTGGCTTTGCGTTTTACGCAGACCGCTTCCCCAATGAGGTCTCACGGTACATCTTTATCATCGGCTGCATCGCCGTCGTCGTCACCGCCGTCGCCATTCTCGCCTGGACCTTCCTCGTCGAGCTGCGCGCCCTCTTCAAGCTGCACAAAAACCCCGACGCAGAGTTTGACCTCGACGTCCGCCAAATCATCTTCTGGCGCGAGCTCGAGAAAAATGCCCCAGACTGGGTCAACAAGTCGCTCGTCGAGCACATCCTCACCTATCGCGGCGAGCTCAACGAGGACCAGCGCTCCATGCTCAAACTCGATGAGAGCGTTGCTTCCGTCTCCATCGGCATCGATGACTCGCTCAATCTCGTCGCATCGGCCGACGCCTCCTCCCGCAACTCGGTCGTGATCCCGGCATCGGTGGACATCTATGCCACAGACGCTGGCAATGACGCGGGCGCCGGCGTTGGCCTCACCGACTCGCTCCTCTCCAAGCCGCACACCCTCGCAGCCCCGGGCTCATCCCTCGCCGCCACAGCCGCCCTCGACGACGGTGATGGCATCCCCCTCGTCTCGCTCAACGACGACGTTGTCTACACCACGCACAATGTTTTCGACGACCTCGACGCCGATATTATTGTCGAGTGACGTGCCATGCCCGCCCCCCCCCCCCCGTACCTCGGTCCACTCGCTTATCCACTGCTGACCTTTTGTTTCCCCGCAGCCTTCTCGCCTGCCGCATAAACGTAGCCTTTTGCAACGCTGTTGATAGGAACGTCAAAATGATGACGAATTGGTCATCTCGTTATTACGCTTGTTTGTTCGGCAAACCGATTGTTCCGCGGCTGATATCACGTTTGGTCACTCGTCTCGGAACCGATCCCCGGCGTATTCCCGCCCCTCCCCCCGCACCTTCAGGTATCCCGCACCAGCACTCATGACCAGCACAGGAATCCAGATGCTTACGACCGTAATTGTGCTCATCATTGCGGCGAGTGTGGTCGCTGGGGCTATTACGCCCTCGTTGGAGGCGCATCCGGCTCGAATGACGATTTCCCTTCCTTCCGCACCGGCTTCGGTTGCGTCGTGGGAACTGCGTGCGGCCCAGGTGTCGCGCAAGTCGGCAAGCGGCGCTTTTGCCGCAGCAGGCAGCTACGGCATCGGGCTTGAGTCTCAAGATCCGGACCTGGCGTGGCCGTATCCTCCCGAGGACCCGTCGTATCTTCGTAGAGTGCGGTTTGAGGTCAACGCGGCTAGCCAGTCGCTCTCTATCTTCCTCACCGCCCTCGCCACTAACATCTTTGTCTACTTTGACCTCGACGGCTCGGCCGCCACGGGCTTTGCTCACCACGGCATGCCCATCGGTGCCGAGCTCCGCATCGAGTACAACCACGTTGATGCATCCGTCTCCATCCAGACGCACAACACGGCATACCAACTATCAGTCAATCAGCCGTTTGCCACTCAGTCCTCGGCGTGGTCCGAGACCGGGCAGACCGTCCCGCTTGCTGCCGCGCTGACATCTGATGGCATTTATTCGCTCAATGCCACCATTCCTCTCGCTGTCTTCCGCGACCATGTTCCGGGCACGTCGCCGCTTGCGGGCCTTTCGCTGAGTGAGTACACCGCTCAGTTTGCCGCCCATGCCTTTGCCTCGCTGGTTTTCGACACCGTGCCGACTGGCGGCTACGCCATCGGCTCGCCGCTCTTCTTTGCTATCGGCCCCCAGACAATCGCCACCGCCGCCACCTCGGACGCTCAGGTTGTGGTCTCGGCCGCTGACCACGGCATCGTTCCGGGCGTGGGCTACGAGCTCGTCCTCGTTGCTGTCAACAACGACGGCTCGCGTACGGTCTTTGACACCTCGGACATCGTCGAACTCCCGCGGACCTTTGCCAGCCTCGACGTCACGCCGGCTTCGGTCTCGGCCTTTGACCTCGCCGTCATCCTCCCGCCTGTCTTTCCAGCCACAGGCGGCCGCATCGAGATTGTCCGCTCTACCGTCGGCTTTCCGACCGCCCCGGGCGGCGCCGGTGCCAGCGAGTCGGTCGTGTATAGCGCACCGCTTTCGAGCCACACACCCGGAGCCGCTGTCGCGCTCGTCGACAACGACGCTGCCCTTGCGCCCATCACATCGTACTACTTTGCTGCGTTTGTTGTGAGCGACACGGGTGGCTTCGAGCCGAGCAACTGGATCTCGCGTGACCGATCGATCCTCTCGCACCTTCGCGGCCCGATTCCGGGCCTCACCGCCACCTCAGACTACATGGTCTTCTTTTCGGCGTGGTCGGCCGCAGAAGTGACCAAGGCCGAAAAGTACGACCTTGTCATTTGCCACCCGGGTGGCGGCTCGGCGCTCATCACCGCCGCCCAGGTCCGCGACATCCGTGACGGGCCCGACGATATTCTCGGCAACGCCGACGACACCATCGTCATTGGCTACATCTCTGTGGGCGAGGACTACGGTGAGCCCGGACCCGGCGGGGGACTCAATGTTCCGCGTGATGCCTCGCTCTCGCCCGCCCTCAACACCGGCACCGGCCCGCAAACGTACAACTACGCTACGGGCGAGGTCTCCTTTGCAAACGGCGGCTACCCATCGTGGTACGTCGACATGATGGGCGTGTACTCGGACACAGGCGGCGCGTATGTTGACACCGTGCCCGACGGCAAGCCTGACCAGAACACTGAGTGGGGCGGCCTGTACGTCAACCCGGGCGATCCGCTCTGGTACGACTTTCTGACTACGGCAACTGCAGCTGAGCACGGAACTTCCGGCTTTAACTACATCCTCAACGAGCTCGGCATGGATGGCCTCTTCCTTGACACCCTCGGCGTGTCGGCACCGTGGTCGTTCTGGCAGCCTCCGGCCATGGTCTCGGACTACTACTGGGTTCGCGACGGCGGCCTTGATCTTATCGCTCACCTTGCGTACGACTACCCGGACGCCGTGCTCATCGGTAACCGCCCGCTCCACTTTGCCTTTCCCGAGTTTGCCGGCTCTCGCTACGACGACTTTCGTTCCTACCTCAGCGGCGTCTACTGGGAGTCGTGGGCCGCCGACATGAACTACTGGTGGGGCGAGGTCTCGGGCGAGGTCTTCAATGACCAGCTTGTTGCTGCCCAGGACAACGCTGATGGTCGCGGCTTCACCACCCTCGTCCTCGACTACTGGGCCGTTATGTTTGCCGCCCGTGAGTCTGGTGAGTCGCAAGGTGCGCCATGGTACGAGACGCCGCTCGAGTACCTGGCTGCCACCGAGTCGCACGACTTTCCAACACACATCTCGCCGTCGCGCTCGCTGGCCGAAATTGATGATGTCGTCTACAACATCCACCATCCCGACGTCTACGCCGGCATGCCTGACCTCGTTGTCGTCTCTATCTTGCCGACCTTCCGTCGGTCGGCCGACAACGCGGCGTGGACGCCGATCCCCGACGTGGTCGAGGTCGAAGTGACCGTTGCCAACCGCGGTGCGCCACCACCGCCGGCTGCGCCACTCACCGCCCGCATCACCGTCGTCCACAACGGCGAGACCATCGCCACCCCTCAGATTGAGCTCACCGACGGCGCGTATGCTCCCGGCTCGCTCGCCACCATCTCGGTCAACGTCTACCTCAACACGACTGGTGTCGTCATCGGCAACCACCTGTACGTGACGGCCGAGGTAGTTGGTCAGGCGGCCGAGCACGACACGTCGAACAACGACGATGATGTCCTCCTCGAGTCGTACTTTTATACCGCGCCATCGCATGTGTACAAGCACGACCCGGCCCCGGACCTGGTTGTTACCAACATGACCCTCCGCCCTCCTGCCCCGCGTGCCGGTGAGGCCTTTGACGTTGTTGTCACCATGCAGAACATCGGCGTCGGCATCTCGCAAAGTTCCCGTGCCTACATGTGGTCGTCGTCGGTCCAGGCCCAGAACGGAAACGTGTACACGCCGTGGCTCCTCCCTGGCGCCACCGCCACCATCGACATCCCCCACGAGCCCATCAACAAGCCTGGCGCCGGCTACGCCGTCGCGGTCACGCTCGACGCTGTACTCGCCGTGCCGAGGCAGACGAAGGCAACAACGAAGCCTCCATGACGTTCTCGGTCCGCCCGCCGATTGCCCCGCTGCCGTACACCTACCCGGCCACTGCCACCGCGCTTTCCTTTGGCTCGACAGACTCGCTGCCGGCCATCAAGCTCAAGGCAGGCGCCACCGACCTCCTTGCGGTCTCCGCTGTCATGGACGGTGCCCGCACCAAGGTGACCGTCATGGTCTCGGCCGCAGAGCCGTCGCTCCTCGACAACTCCCAGCTTGCCATATTCTTCAACACCGACGACTCACTGGCCTCTGGCTACCTTCGCGGCTTTGACGTCCTTGTTCTGGACGGCGTTCCGTCGATCCATGACGCAGCTGCCGGAACTGGCTGGGGCTGGCTTCCGCATCCGCAGTACAACGCCGAGACCTCGGCCGTCACGCTCGCGCATCAGGACCGGCTCGCCCGCGTCACCTATCTTGACATTGATGTCAACTTGCTGTACTCGGCCCGACCGGACGCGCTCCGCATCTTTGTGTCGGCCACTCCGCGCGACAACTCAGGTCCGGGCGACGTCGATGCCATCCCGCACGGTGTGAGCTTTGCCGAGGACGGCCTTGTCTTGGCCACCGGCGTGCCAGCCGCATCGACTTTCCCTCTCCTCACCGCAGTTCACCGGGCAGCGAGCTCGGCGTCGGGAACGCTGTACTCGTTTAGTTCATCGTCCGGTGCCTACTACCGCCTCGACGTGCTCTCGCTCGCAGACACTACCATCACGGTTGTCGACGACTTTGCTATGGTTCTTGCGACGCCTGGTAATCCGCCAGAGCCAAAGCTCGCAGTGTTTGGTGGTGATCCGTACGCGTACGTCGGGTCGAGCTCGGGCACGATTGCTTCGCCACTCGGCATCCGGGCCGCGCTTGGTCTTGCCTCGTCGGACGACACTCTTCTGTGGTCGCCGCTTCCGCAAACGTCGCTTTCGATCATTGTTACGCCGTCGGCTGGCATTGTTGAGGCCTCAATTAGCGAGGCCGCGCTCACCGCTGCTGGCCTTCCTGCTGTGCCGAGCGTGACCACACCGGTGCTCGTCCGGATTGTGGCAGCGAGCAATGCCGTCAACACGTACTCGACCGCTGGCTGGCTGCCTGAGACCGGCGTGGCGCTTCCGCGGCTCGAGTGGCTCCCCCTGCCTCATTGCTCGGACGGCATGTACTCATCGCAGGAGGAGGGTGTCGATTGCGGGAGCGCATGCGGACGGAGCTGCCCGCCGGCGCACTGCTCAAACGGCATCATCGATCCGGCCGAAGACGGCATCGACTGCGGCTCGGTGTGCGGGTGGCAGTGTGTGCCGAGCCTGACGCCAACCTCGTTGGCCGGCATCAACAACGGCGTTCGCGTTGTCGACGCGCTCAACGACGCGACGTCGGCCAACCCCAGCCTTCCTGACTACGCCGATGTGGTCGGCCTCGAGCTTAGTCACTCGCTCTCGCACGTCCACGTCCGGCTCGAACTGGCCGGATCGGCAACGCCGCTCACGGCTCCGGCTGCCAACAACATGGAGCTCATCGTGTTTCTGGGCGTCAAGGGCCTGCCATCGGGCTACTCGCTGGTAGGCGGGACCGGGTTCCGCGCCCAGTTTATGGTGTTTAACGATGTGTTCTTTGCCTACGACGATGCTGCCGGCGGCGCAGATGGCCTCGGTTGGTCGTGGGTGCAGATTTCGCCGCGGCATCCGACCTCGGGCAGACTCATCGACATCTCAGCCGGTCCTGCTGGCCTGGAGATCACGATTGTGCGGAGCTTGCTTACCACGCCGCGGCACACGATCATGCCAGGAGCAGCATCTGCAGCTGCCGATGCAGGGCTGGCTCAGGATCAGGGTCCGGACGCGACGTACATGGCGTACGCTACCGTGACATACATTCCGCCCGAAGGTGGCGAACGGCGGACGGACGTTGTGCCGGAGAGCGGCGAGCATGTTGAGATGGCAACGACATGGGCGCCTGCGCCCAGGGCACCGATTATCATTGACGGCAGTGGCGGCGATTGGGATGCGCTCGGTGCATCTTATGGCCGCATCGACACCATCGATGGTGCTAACGACGCGCGCTCGGCTGACGGCTTTACCAACGTCGTCACCGGGGCGCAGAACGATGCCGCCGTGGTCTCGACTGCGTTTGACGATGCCACCATGTACGCACGGCTGCAGACGCACGCGCCGACGGCTACGCCGCCGGACGCAGGCACTTCGACGGTGCTCTTCTTTGCGCCTGCAGATGAGACGCTCGCAAGCGCCGGCTACCGCGTCGCACCGGGCATTGTCGCAGTGGCCATGATCCTCGACGGGCAGGGCTACGTTTACTCGGGTACGACCGTGGGAAGCGGATGGACTTGGAGCGCTCTCGAGGCTGACGCGTTCTCAGCGGTGTCGAGCGGCAATACCGCCGAGGCCGCGATTTCCAAGTCGGCGTGGGCCGCCGGCTTTGGTCTCGATAGAGACAGCCACATGATGGCTGTGGCCACGGTGACCAACACGCGCGGGACGCCCGGCGACCTCTCCGACGACCTCTACGACGACGTGCCGGACTATGGAACGTACGTTTATGTGCCGCCGAGCCCGCCAAGCCCACCGAGCCCACCGAGCCCGCCGCCGCCGCCGCCAGCGCTCGGAAGTCTGCTGGCAGACGGTGACGACTCAGAATGGAGCTCCTACAGTGGCGCGTCAGTCAATCGAGTCGACATCACCGACGGGCCCAACGACGCGACGCTGTCAGCGAACCGGGTCCCGCGAGTGACCGGCGCCGCCAACGATATCGCGACGCTCGCGCACGTCGAGGACGTCGCGCGAGTGGCGGCTCTCTTCAAGACCTACGCACAAGACAACGCTGAGCCCGACTCGTGGGTGGAGACAGCGGTGTTCTTTGGACCGGCCAACGCGTCGGACACGCTCATTGGGTATGAGGCTCATCCAGACGTGTACGCTGTCGGCATGATCCTCAACGGCATCGGCTACCGCTACACCGGGAACACCAAGTCGGGTGTGTGGTCGTGGTCGGCGCTCGCGTCGACACGGTTCGGCTATGGCCGGTCTGGCAACACCACTGAGGCGTGGATGTCACGGCTGGCGTGGGCGGGTGCCGAGTACGGTGTGCCTGCTGACGCCCTGATGGCTGCAGTGGTCCAGCTGACAAACACGCAGAACACGCCGTTTGACAGTACAGACGACGTGGTTGACACGGCGCCCGACACTGGGCCGTTTGACGTCGGCGCACCGCCGCCGCCGCCGTCGCCGCCGTCGCTGCTTCCTGTTGTCATCGACGGCGACGGCTCCGAGTGGGTCTCGCCATCGTCACTCGACGAACCGCAGTGGGGTCGCGTCGATGTCACCGACGGCTCGAACGACGGGTTGCTGGTGTCGGATACGTCGCCTTTTGCGCATCCCATTGCGCCGCAGAACGACTACGCGGTCCTCACCTACGTGTCGGATGCGGCGTACGTGGCGGCGCGTGCGGGTACATATGCCGGGGCAAGCGAGGCGCCTGACGCCGACACAACGACGACGTTCTACTTTGCGTCGCCCGACGCAACACGCGGGTATCCTGTTCCGGGCGGGTATGCTGTGGCGATGATTGTCAATGGCTTTGGCTTTGCCTATGATGGGCCGGACCGGTCCGGCACTTGGGCCTGGCGGCAGCTGCCCGAGTGGTCGAGCGACTTTGCTCGGTCGGGCAATGTGACCGAGGTACGAATGGAGCGGTCAGTGTGGGCCGGCGCGGGCCGCGACTATGGTCTCGACTTTAACGACGGTATGTACGTGTACTCGGTGATCGCCAAGACCCAGGGCACGTCGGACGTCAACGACGACGTCATCGACCACATTCCAGACTCGGGTCCGTTTGCAATCCGCGCGCCGCCGCCGCCGTTTTCGGCGTCGCCGCCGCCGCCCCCGCCAGGCCTGCCGAGAGCCGGTGGCATCGTGGTTGTGGACGGCGACTTGTCCGAGTGGCCTGGCCTTGGGGCTGATTATGGCCACCGGGTCATCAACGACGGGCCGGACGACGCGCTGACATCTTCTGATCCTTCGCCGTATCCACGGTACACCGGCCCGCGCGATGATTTTGTCCGGCTTGAAACAGCGCATGACGAAGCGTCTGTGGTGGCGATGACGAGGACGTACTCGCCGAGTGAGACGTACTCGGGTGGGGCTCAGCACGCGACGTTCTTTCTCCCGTCCAACGCGAGCGCTGGCGACGCGGGGTACACAGTGGCGCCAGACCATCATGCAGTGGCGATGATTCTCAACGGCATCGGCTACGTCTACGCTGGGTCGTCCAAGTCTGCCGCGTGGTCGTGGACGCAGCTGCCGGCTGACTACTACGAGTCGGTTACGGTGAACGGACAGACCGAGGTGCGGATGTACCGCGATGCATGGACGGCACCGCGACTGGGACTTGCGCCTGGAATCAACATGTCTGTGGTGGCAACGTTGACCAACACAGCTGGAACGCCGTTTGACTTTAGCGACGATCTGGTCGACTATGTGCCGGACGTCATCGGGTTTGCGTACCCGCCACCGCCGCCGGCGCCGCCTGGTGTGTTTGCGGACGGCCAGCTTGACGAGTGGTTCACGCTCGGGCTTTGGGCCGAGCAACCAACGTTAGCGACGGGCGCAACGACGGACGGACGTGGAATGCGCAGGCCGGCTCTGTGCGGGCCATGGAGGCGCGCAACGACTTTTCGACCATGGGCTATGTCGACGTCAACGACATGCTCGCGGCGTACACGATGACGTACGGCGAAGAGGACGAATCGCCGGAGCCGGGAGTGTACGAGACCGTGTACTTTGTGCCGGAGGACTCGACCACGATCACTCGCGGCTTTGCCGTGGCACCAGGCACATACGCTGCGGCGATGATCCAGGGCGGCGTCGGGTACAAGTACGCCGGCTCGGTGCGGTCGTCCGAGTGGGCATGGGAGCCGATCAATGGGGCTGACTTTGGCTACGGCCGGTCGGGCAACACAGTGGAGGCTATCATGAGGCGGAGTGTGTGGAGCGACGGCACGTACGGCCTGACGACTGATACGCCGATGACGGTGGTGGCGACGATGCTTTCCGACGGCGGGACGCTCGGCTACCCGTATGATGATGTCATCGACTACGTGCCGGACGTTTGGGACGGCGTGCCTGCGCCGCCGCCAAGTTCGACGCCGCCGCCACCTCCAGGCACGGGAGTGTGGTTTGGGCCGGGCGAGCCGACGTGGAACGTGCCTGTTACTGTCGACGGACATGCCGGTGAGTGGGGCGGTGTGGGACCGCAGTTCAAGCTCACGCGGTACTACGACGGATCGAACGATGGGCTCTCCAAAGAGGATCCTTATCCGATTCAGCGGGAGCTCGAGCCTGCGCACGATGTGGCGTCGGTGACGTATGCGCAAGACAACTCGTCAGTGGCAGTGTACATGATGCGGTATGGCAACGGATCAATCGGAGCCAACATTGAGGAGACCGTCTTCTTTGTCCACCCCAACGCGACCGTTGGGTACGAACTGGCGGACGGCCGGTATGCCCAAGCCATGATCTATCGTGGCATCGGCTACGTCTACACTGGATCTGGGCTCTCGAACACTTGGTCGTGGTCGCGGCTGCCGAGCTCGTACTACACTTCACACACCGGTGGCCCCATCTCAGAGTACCGAGTCTCCAAGCTTGCGTGGTCCAATCCCGAGTTTGGCGTCGATCCAGAGTGGGAGACCCAGGTTGTGGCGACGCTGACTGACACGCGAGGCACGCCCGACAACACCACCGACGACATTGTCGACGCTGGTCCCGATCTTGTGGCCTGGGGGCCGGGGCAGGTCCCTGCTCCGCCGCCACCTATGGGTATGCCTTCAAGCCCACCGCCGCCGCCGCCAAGTCCTCCGCCGCCGCCGCCGCCGCCGCCGCCGAGCCCGTCTCCGCCGCCGCCGCCGCCGCCGAGCCCATCTCCGCCGCCGCCGCCGCCGAGCCCGTCTCCGCCGCCGCCGCCACCGAGCCCATCTCCGCCGCCGCCGCCACCGAGCCCGTCTCCGCCACCGCCGCCACCATCGCCTCCGCCACCATCGCCTCTCCCGCCAGTTGTTCCGTCGCCGCCGCCACCGTCGCCTCCGCCGCCATCGCCTCCGCCACCATCACCCCTCCCGCCGTTGTGGGTGGTGGTAGATGGAAGCGGGTCAGATTGGGCCACGCTGGCACCGACGTTTAACGTCGAGTCAAGCACAGACGGGGTGAACGACGGTGTGCGGCTCGATGCTGGTGGTTCGGGTAGCCTGGATGTGGTTGACGACTACACGGCGCTACTGCAAGTGGCGTCAGACGACGAGGTCGCTGCGCTGCTCACGCGACGTACGGGCAATGAGCCGACGGCTGACGAGATCATCTTCTTCTCGCCTGCCGGATTGCCAAAGACCGGCTACGAGATGGCAGATGGTCGGTTTGCGGTTGCAATGACGTACAACGGCATCGGGTACCGCTACGGCGGGACCGGTCGCTCAGGCGAGTGGAAGTGGATCCCGCTGGATGCGTCCGAGTATGACGTGGTTCGGTCGGGTCGGGTGACCGAGGTCAAGATCTCCAAGAACGTGTGGAGCAACCCTGAGTACGGCGTCGACCGGTTGACGCCGATTTCTGTGGTTGGCGCGCTGGTCTCAGACTCGGGCACGCCGGGTAATCCGCACGACGATGTTGTTGACTTTGTGCCGAACACCGAGGTCAAAATTGGTGGGCGGCCGTCGGGTAGCACATACGGCGGTGTGCCACCGCTTGTGGTCGACATCAACAATCCGGGGCTGGGTGCCGATGTATGGGCGCCGGGTGGGCCGGTGCTGTCCAATCCGCTCTACAACGGCAAGTGGATCAACGACGGCCCGGACGATGGCCTGCCGCCGCAAGTCGGCGCGCCTGCGATTTCTCCGGGCGACCGCAACGACTACAAGGCGCTCGCGTACGCAACGGACGGAGTGATCACGTCTGCCATGCTGGCGACCTACGGCGAAGCTGGTGAGGCACCGATGAGCGATGTGGTGCAGCGAGTGTACTTTGCGCCGACAGATCCGTCGCAGATTGTCGGGTCGGGCTACGAAGTTGAGCCTGGAGTTGTTGCTGTGGCCATGATCGAGGACGGCATCGGGTACTTGTGGGTCGACGGCACGTGGCAGGCGCTGCCGATGTCGACGCGTCAACATGGAATGGCGACGCATGGCAACATGACCCAGGCGTGGATGGCCAACGCGGTGTGGGCTGATGCCGTAGTCGGCGGAACCAGCGAGCCGATGCGGGTGGTCGGTGCACTGATGATGCCTGACGGGACGGTAGACTATGTACCTGACCTCGAGCGGAGCGTGACTGCGCCGCCGCCGCCGCCACCTGGTACAACCACGGCTGGATCGGTGACCGGAGGTGGGCGCGACTCGGGCTCGGGCTCGGGTCTCTCCGACTGGCTCCTCGGCATGCTGCTTGCGCTCCTTGCACTCTGCTGCTGCTGCTGCCTGTTCTGGCTCCTCTTCCTCTGCTGCCGCAAGAAGGAGGAGCCTGAGGAGGCGAAGGCGCTCACGATTGTCGACCCTGTGGAGAAAGTGGCGGTCATTCACCTCTCGGACTCGCAGGAGGGCCTCGTCTCGGCATCGGGCTCGCAGTCTGTGCTGGGTGACGAGACCGACTCGTTCAGCATGTCGAGCGACGAGCCGCGCAAGCCTGTGACCAAGCTCGACACGTCGCCGCGGGTGGTGGCAGCGCGCGCCGCCGCGGCCTCGTCACTGCGTCCGGTCCTCTCTGTGGAACTAGGCAAGGACGGAGCCAAGTTTGGTGGGCGAAAGGCTGCTACCAAGACGGCGGCTGGTGTTGGTGTTGGTGCAGCCGTCGGCGCAGCCGCGGCATCGCGGCGCAAGCGTAGCACGCGGAGCGCCGGAGCCAGGCGCGGCGACAAGGGTCCGCGGGCGGCAAGCAGCCTTGCGGGAGGCATCGCTGCGAGCGGCGACAAGGCGCCCGCCGGCGAGGCGAGCAGGCATACCGACATGAGTCACACATCGCCGGACGACACGGTGTCGTCACTGGCGTCCGAGTCGGCCTTGTTGACTGCGGCAGCTGGAGCAGGTGCCGCCGCAACCGACAAGCGGTCCAGCAGCCCGTCGTCGTCGTCAGACGTGTCGATGTCCTCTGACGGGCCTGACCGGCGCAGCCGCGGCCCGCGAACCCAGGCTGCGCTCGCTTCCGCGGCTGCGGGCGGAGCAGGCGCGGCCGCTGTGGCATCGCGCTCATCGGCACTCCGCACCCAAGAGTCAGGGCAGACGTCGGGCCTGGCTGGATCCGAGGAGTCGTCGTGGGTCCTGACCACAGAGACCGACTGGATTGCTGAGGGCATGGCGTCCGAAGTCATTGACTACTGGGTGTACGATGCATCGAACCCGCGGCTCAACGAGAACGGGCTCAACACCGGCTCGGGCGTAGGGTCGGGAGTGGGCACGGGCGCATGCTCGGACTCGGGCTCGGGCTCCGTCTCGCTCCCGGATGTCGACCTCGGGTCTAGCCGGTAAGTGCGAGTGCGCTGTGGTAAACGCATGGCATGCTCTTGCATTTCATTGCTGTTCTTTGCGGCGCTTTAATCGTCATCGTCGTCGTCGGTCAAGGTGGCAGTCGAAGCGCCGTAGGTGTAGTCGTCGGCAGTCGTGTCAACAGTGTCGTAGGTGTACGAACCCGAGTCGGGGTCAAAGCGGATGGGCTCAGACCAGGTGTCGATGTAGCAGAAGCGCGGGCAGTGGCGTCTCCGGCAACAAATGCAGGCTCCAACGAGGATGAAGATGATGGGGAAGAGAAGCATAAAGGTGACCGAGAGAATGTACGGGTCGCGCTCCTCAGGATTGTAGCCATCGAGCCAGACATCGCCAGATGAGCCATAAACAGAGACAAAGCACGGGATGGTTGAGTTGATGGCGATGTTGGCGAGATAGGACGAGATGCGAGGAGAGGACGACGAACCGCGGCCCTCTGGTGAAGCGACAATGTCCGAGTCTGCGGATACTGAGAAGACGGCCGACGACGAGGGGATGGTGTAGGTAACGTCGACCCAAGCGTCGTAGAGCGAGGCGTGGCCTGTTATGCCCTTGGTGCAAACCATAGAGTGCGAACACCAGTGCGAGGGCGTGCGCGGCTCACGATTGTTGTTGAGCACGTTGTAGCAGCGGAGGCAGTGGATGCGGCGGCCCTTGGCGTGGATGGTGCACTCTGCGCGGGTGGTGATGGAGAAGAAGACGTTGGAGAAGAAGAGCGAGGCAAAGATGATGATGGCGACAATGTAGAGAACGGCCCAAATGTAGGTGATGGAGAGTGAGAAGAACCGGCCGACAGTGCGGTTGAGGCAGGTGCCGGGTTTGGAGACCTTGGGCTTGAGGGTGACAAGGACGCCGCAGAGGTAGAAGAACGAGAGGATGGGGCAGATGACAAGGGCGGGCATGAACTTGTGGATGAAGCAGTTCCGCCGCAGGGTTGGAAAGACATAGACTGGTCCATCATACGACGCGATGGGTTTTCCACGCTTGAGGTAGCAGGTGATGCGGTCGCCGACGCCGATGTCGGACACGATGTCGGAGGCGAGGCCGCCCGAGGAGGACAAGTCGCGGCAGTTGATGCCGTTGGCGTCAAAGTCTGAAGCAGCGGTAAAGTTGTAGGCACGAGAGCCATCCGAGAGAGAGAGAGAGGCGGAAAAGCCTGCCGATGTGGTGGTGATGGCAGTGACGGTGCAGTCCCTGTGGCCCTCGTACTCGATGAGGAAGGAGATCCAGTTCCAGCCAGGGCCAAAGACAAAGGCAGCGAGAAAGGCAAGGATGACCACGGGCATCCACGCCCACCACGTGCGTGCAGTCTGCCCGATGGCCCACAGCAGGCCCTGCCCCACATATGTCCTCCTGCCAGACATGCTCTTTCTGTCCCAGAAGACAACAAGTGCAAGCGAGAGGTGTTCCCCTGCTCCCTGTCGCGCTCCTGCTCCTGCTCCCCCGTTCGCCGCCGCTCGTCGACTCGGGTTCCGTGAATGGGCGAATGGCTCGCTGCCCCCGCTCACCGCCCCGCTCCCGCATACCCGGAACAAGCCTCAGTCAGTGCCAGTCTGCCGCAGATCGGGGCGTTCACCTCGAGGGGAAGGAGGGCGATCGGAGGGCGGTAAGATAAAGTGCTCAAAGAGGAGACACCATCGTCGGGGCAAGCCGGCTATGTTAGGAATGGCGGCATGCTGGTGCGCCCGTGCACAAGGCACTGCCAGAGCTTGGGTAGCTCGATGCGGGGTTAGTAAGCACCCAGTCACCCGATACATGATACGGTGATGGGCGACCAGTGCCGGTGATGTGTCGGGCACGTGTAGATGGTGATGAGCGAGCAGGCGAACCAAACGGCTTCGACCAGGATTACATGCTGGGCGAGTTGGTGAGACGGGGACGGCCGCCACGTCGGCGCGGCGGCGACGACGAATGGGCGCTGCGTTCGGCAGGAGGGGAGGCGACGGGAGAGGGTAAGACGGCACTTGGACAGAGTGGTAGAGGCATGCTCAACCCACGGAACGACTCGTGGTTCAGCTCTGCGCGGTACGCCGGGCAGCGCAAGGTGGCGGCCGGAGTCGCGCTTGCGCTTGTCATGCTGTATGTGCTTGCTGGGGGGTCGGGCGAGGGCATGGATGGCGGCAGCGGTGGCGTCGGCCGGAGCGGGAAGCAGGACGGCCGGAGCGGCAGCGGGTACGGGGCGGTGGACGACGACGGGGTGCTGGTTGCCGGCGAGACGCGGATCAAGCCGTCTGGCAAGTACGATGACACGTATCCGCTCGGGCATGGCGGCGGACGCGGGGCCGATGGCAGCGCCTCGTTTGTCTTTGCCGTGGTGGCGGACATGGACCAGGCGTCAAAGGTGGAGGGAAAGGCCAACGCGTGGTCGTCGATTCTCAAGATCGGGCGCCTGACGCGAAGCATGAGCGGGAAGTACGATGTGACGTGGGTGACCCAGTCGCGGATCGAGTCATCGCTGGCGGTGGGTGGGCGGTCGATGGAGCTCTCGGCCTTGGTGGCGTACAACGGCGGACTGTGGACGTGCGACGACCGGACCGGCGTGGTATACCAGCTCGAGGCCGTGCTCGCCGGAGCCGAGTATACGTACACGGCAGTGCCAAAGTACATCCTAGCCGAGGGTGACGGCGAGACGTCCAAGAACCTCAAGTGCGAATGGATGTCGGTGAAGAACGGGCATCTGTTTGTGGGCGGCTTTGGCAAGGAGTTTGTCAACGACAAGGACGGCTCGATCACGTCCGAGGGTCCGATGTGGGTCAAGCTCATCGATGCTGAGGGGCGCATCGAGCACGTTGACTGGCGCGACAACTACCGCCTGTTGCGCAAGGCGACCGGCACCGAGCACCCGGGCTATCTCCTTCACGAGGCCGTCATGTGGCACGAGCCGCACGGCCGGTGGTACTTTTTGCCGCGCCGCGTCTCACCCGACGCCTACGACGAGGTCAAGGACGAGCGCCGTGGCTCCAACCTGGTCCTTTCGGTTCCGCCGACGTTCAAGCTCGGCGATGTGTCGTCGGTCCACATTGGCGAGATCGTGCCATCGCACGGCTTCTCAGCCGTCCGCTTTGTGCCGGGCTTCCCGGACGAGGCCGTTGCCCTCAAATCGGTTGAGGACGCTGGTATTGCCGAGACTTACATTATGGTCTTTAATGTCAAAACTGGCAAGGTGCTGATGCCGGAGACCAAGTTTGGCGACGTCAAGTTTGAGGGCATCGAGTTCCTGCAGGACTGAGAAACTAAACACCATCGTATTGCCTGGAGCAATCTAAGTGGGGGAAAGGAGGGGGGGAGGGGGGGGGTTGTTAATCATACTTGGTTGCTCACCAGCGGCCACCACGGTCGCCGCCGCCAAAACCACCGCCAAAGCCGCGGTCGCCGCCGCGGTCGCCGCCGCGGTCGCCGCCGCGGTCGCCGCCGTAGCCACGCGAGCGGCCACCGCCGCCGCCCTTGGAGCGGCGGAAGTCGGAGCCACCAAAGCGCGAGCCGCGCGAGCGGCCGCCGCCGTAGCCGCGCGAGCGGCCAAAGGAACGAAGCCACGAGGGAATGACGTTATCCTCATGCTCCTCCATGTTCTCGATGAGGTCGTTGGCGAGCTTGGCATCCTTCTGGGTAAAGAGAGCGGTGGCAATGCCCTTCTTGCCGGCACGGCCAGTACGGCCGATGCGGTGGACGTAGTCGTCGATCGAGTTGGGCAGGTCAAAGTTGATGACGTGGGTGACGTTGGGGATGTCGAGGCCACGCGAGGCGACGTCGGTGGCAACGAGGACCGGGGTTCGGCCCGAGCGGAACGAGCGCAGTGCCTCCTCGCGCTCACGCTGGTCGCGGTCGCCGTGGATCGAGGTTGACGGCAAGCCAGCCTCGTAGAGGAAGTCCTCGAGCGCGTCACAGCCACGCTTGGTCTCGACAAAGACGAGGGTGAGCCCGGGGACGGCCGAGATGAGGTCGACGACAAAGTCGCGCTTGTCGCGCGGCTCGACAAGCTCGACGCGCTGCTCGACAAGGCCGGCCGACGAGCCGACGCGGCCGACGCGGAGGAAGACGTAGTCGTCCAGAAAGTCGGCAGCGAGCTGCTGGATCTCGCGGGCAAAAGTGGCTGAGAACAGCAGGGTCTGGCGCTCACCCGGAGGCGGCATGCCCGAGTCTTCGACGATGGTGCGGATCTGCGGCTCAAAGCCCATGTCGAGCATGCGGTCGGCCTCATCGAGGATGAGGAACGAGATGAACTTCATCGACGCGCGCCCACGCTCGATGAGGTCGATGACACGACCGGGCGTGCCGATGATAATGTCGCAGCCCTTCTCCATCTCACGGAGCTGCTCGCCCATGGGCGCGCCGCCGTAAAACACGCGAACACGGAGCGAGGACCGGTAGGTAAACTTGCGAGCCTCCTCGAAGATCTGGCACGCGAGCTCGCGGACAGGTGCGAGGCAGAGCGCGTTGGGGTAGGCCTTCATACGGCGGCCAGTCTTGGCCGGCTCGTCGGGGTATGTCGGCCCGTCGAGAAGCAGCCGCTTGATGACAGGCATGAGAAAGGCGGCGGTCTTGCCGGAGCCGGTCTGCGCACACGCCATGATGTCACGGCCGGCGTTGGCAATGGTCACCGCGTGGCGCTGCACCGGCGTCGGCTTGGAGTAGCCCATGAGCGAGACGACGTTGGAGAGGACCACGCCGAGTTCGAGCTCCTCAAAGGTGTGTCCGGGCTCGGGCACGTCGCGTCCAGTCGCCTCGACCGGAATGTCTTCGTAGGCGTCAAAGTCGATGGCCGACGACGAGACGCCGCGCTCGGCGCGCTCGGCCTCGGTCCCAAACAGCTCCTCCTCGAGCCGCGACGACCGCGAAAGCAGGACGTCACGCGGCTTGCCAAGCGGGTCGCGCACCGGGCCCGACCGCCCACGCCCACCGCGCGAGTACATCCGGCCGCCGTAGCCCGACTCACGCCCGTAACCGCGGTCACGCGGAGCGTCAGCAGGACCATCGCGTCCCCAACCACGGAGCCGGTCGTTGTTTGCAGACGGCGCCGGGCGCCCACCGAATCCGTATCCGCGGTCGCCGCCGCGGTCGCCGCGGTCGCCGCCACGGTCGCCGCCGCGGTCACCACCGCGGTAGCCACCGCGGTCGCCACGCCGGTCGCCTCCGTAGCCGCCACGGTCGCCGCGGTCACCGCGGTCGCCGCCCCAGCCACTGCGCCGGTCGCCGCCGTAGCCGCCACGGTCGCCGCCGCGGTCGCCGCCCCAGCCGCTGCGCCGGTCGCCGCCGCGGTCGCCACCGCGGTCGCCGCCGCGGTCACCAAAGCCGCGGCCGCCTTCGGCAGCCGCGGGCGCGCGTGACGCGTCCGGAGCCGCTGCCGCCTCGGAAGTGGAAGTCTTGTTGTTGTTGTCGGTCGCCGCCGACGAGGTCGTCGGCGCGGCGTCGGCCGCCACCGCCGCCACAGGCTCCACAGGAGCCAGCGGCGCAGCGATCGAGTCGGCCCACCGCGACGGCGCCGACGAAGTCAAAGCCGCCACAGGGGCTGCAGTGTTGGGCGGGAGCGACGGGCCGGAAGAGTCGGCTGCCGGCGCCGGCGGAGGGTTGGCCGGCTTGGCCGAGTTGGTGGCCGCACCGCGGTTGCGGTTGCGGAGAGCAGGGGGCACATAAGACTGCAAGCCGTGGAGGTAGGGGAGGGTGAGTACGGTGGTTGAGTGAGGGACGGCACGAGGGACGGCGCGAGGGACGGCGCGAGGGACGGCGCGAGGGACGGCGCGAGGGACGGCGCGAGGGACGGCGCGAGGGACGGCGCGAGGGACGGCGGCAATGCCCGTTTTCGGAACACCCACCATCCGCGCCATCCGAGCCGGGCTCCTCGACGGCACAGGTGCCGACCATAGCAGCGGAACGCGCACAAGCGGGGGGGAATGAATTTGGAACAAGGAAGGGGATGGGGTAGATGGTGGGCGTGGTATGCGGCTGGCCGTGGTGCCTCTTGCCGTCATGCTTACCATGTTTGGAGTCGAGTTGTCGCTTGCTGGGGGGGAGAGCGAAGGCGGCCTCGATTCTGCTTTGGCCGCAATGGATGACGGGCGTGTGACGTGCTGAGACGGTCATCACCGCCGGCCATTGTTGCTGATTGAAAGCCGACAGCCGTGACCGACAACTAACCAACGGTTCAAACCGCACCCCCTCCCCCCCCCCCCCCCTGCCCGACCCGATCCCCATCGTTCCAAGGGACACACACTGCATCAGTGGGCTTTGCTACAGTCCCAACGCTGTTGCGTCGTGACAAGCTTGGAGCTAAGGCAACCATCCGCGACGGCTCGATGTATGTTGGCCTGCGGTAAAATGGGAATGTGGGGGAAGCTGCCTGCGGCACGCCGACAAAACTGTCGAAAGAGCACTCACGCGCGCAGTCACACGCCCTGGCCCCCCCCACCCGTACCTGCACCCGTCCCCGCACCAACACCAGCACCCGTAGTACTCACCTTGGTCACAGACCGAGACACTAGAGTCGCCTCTTGCCCTTGTCTGTCTCGCTGGCGCTTGCTCTCTCTCTCTCTCTTGCTCGCTGGCTCGCTCTCTCTCCCTCTCTCTCCCGCTCCCTCCTTCCCATGGTTCGCTCGGCTCTCTTTGCCCTCGTCCTGGGCGCATTGCTGGCGCTGGTGGCAGCGGCGGCGGGTGATGCAAGCTCAGCTTCGCTGCCACCGCTTATGCTGCAGGTGGACGACTCGGTGTTGCCGCGGGTGGCCAAGCGAATGACTGCGCTCCTGGGTAGTGTGGCGACGCATGAGCTGCAGGTGGTGCCTGCGAGCGAGAGCGTGAATCCGACTTTGCTCCCGGCCGGAGCGGTGGTGGTGGCTGTCGGCGAGCTCGACGTTGTCAAGGCGTACAACGGATCAGCGGCGGCGGCGGGGCTCGGGCCGGAGGGCTACGTCGCTCGCGGATGCGCTGCCGGCGAGGTGGCAGTCCTGGTCGGGTCAGGCATGGCCGATGAAGGCAAGCTGACCCATGGCGGCGGCGGAGCCGGCTTTGCGGCGTACGAGCTGCTTCAGCTCCTCGGCTTTGGTTTTCTGCACCCACTGGATCCGCTAGTGGTGACGGCGGTGCCGTCAGTGGCGAGCCTCGGCCTCGGCCCGTGCACCGGGCCAGTCGCTGTGCGTGCCGCGGTCCACGAGCGGCACCTGCGCATCCGCGGCTACCACATCCACACCATGCATCCGCTCGAGCTAACCAACATGTTCAACGGATTTGGCGTGAAGGGGCCTGGTGATGAGGCCTCTTTCAACAACATGCTCACCGACGAGCTTCCCAACGTGTGCGAGTGGATGGTGGCCAATCTGCAGAACCGGGTCGAGTGGGTCGTGCTCTACGCGCAGGAGTGGGCCCAGTTTGCGACCTCTAACACCCGGCAGGCACGCTTGGCTGCGATTGTGGCCGAGCTCCACTCGTGGGGCCTAGCAGCCGGCGCCGACGTTCCGATTGCCGAGATCCAGCAGCACGCGTGGCCGATGGTCCACAATACCGGAAGTGCGGCGGAGCAGGAGGCGCAGATCCACGCGTCGATCGACTGGTTTATGGCAGCTGGCTTTGACTTTATCTCGACCGAGAATGGCTACTCGGAGTTTACTCATCCCGATGACGAGCTCATGTTGACGTGGATGAATGTGGCGACCGCTTACATCGCCGACACCTACGGCAAGCGCATGTACATCAAGTGTCACTGCTCGACCGGACAGACGTGTAAGAACTTTGACGATCCGCGGACAGGCAAGCCGCTCAACTTTAACTTTCTGCCCATCTACGCCGACTCGCGCCTCGGCATCATGCCGCACACCGTCCAGACGTACACGCTCGACGAGCCTGCGCCGACGTACGGCAATCTGAACTTTACATACATGGAGGCGTTCACGGCGTGGCAGGCGGGACTCGGCGAGCGCGAGGTCGTGTACCACTGCGAGTCGGCGTACTGGGTTAACTATGACATCGACGTCCCGCTCTTCCTGCCTGTCTACGGCCTCAACCGACTGGTCGATCTGCGGCGGCTGGCGTCGTCAAGCCCAAGCCTCGACGGCCAAATGGTGTTTGACTCGGGTTGGGAGTGGGGCTACTGGCTGCACGACGTAGTCGTCGCCCGCGCCGCATATGACCCCAGCCTCGACATTGCCTCGGATCACGCCGCCTTTGCAGAGGCGCTCCGCGTCCCGACCGCGCCGTTTGGCTCTGCCCAGGACGACGTCATCGCGTGGCTAATGGCGATGGTCGAGGCCGAGACGCAGCTGCTCATCTACGGCAACGTCACCGGGCACATCTTTGACGGTAATGATGCGTCGGTGGTCAAAGCCAACGGCCAGGCGTACCTCGAAGGCTGGGATTCGTTTGCAGACATCGGTGCGCTCTCCAAGCACGCGCTCGCAACTCAGCCGAACCGCATCGGCCTGCAGGCCATTCGCCTCGACTCCAGCTACCCAACGCACCTCGCGCCGCTGCTCGCCGCCATGAACACTACCTTTGGCGAGCTCGTTGTTGAACTGGAGCAGCTCGCGGACGCTATCCCTGCCCGCGCGCTGCCCATGTACAACGAGCTGGTCCAATCGTCACGAGTTCTTGCCGCGCGCGCCGCTCAGGTCTACGCCCTCTATGACTATGCGCACTACTGGTCCAAGGACAAGGCCTGGCGGGCTGCGCGGCTGGCGACGGCCGAGGCTGCGCTCGAGACAGCGATGACCAATATCCGCGCGCGCGAAGCCGCGTACCGCGTCCCGCTCGATCGCATCGCCTTTTGGGGCGCATACCCGGTCACAGTCTACAACTTTGGCTACGTGTGGACTGCACACTCGGGCTACTACTTTTGGCGCGACTACGCCGTCGCCCTCGATGCCGAGCCCGCTGTCCTCTCGCCGTGCTTCCTCAACATCCAAAACCCGGTCGACACCGCGCTCGGCGAGGGTATCGCCCTCAACGTCACCCACCTCCTCGACAAACTGCTCGACGAGTTCAAGTGGACCCGCGAGTTCATCGCGCCGTGCCTCTTCCCGCCGCACAACGAGCCCATCTTTCCTCGTGATCTCTACAACATGACCATGCTAAATGCGTAGAGAGTGATCGAGCAAGCGCCCTTCTCCCCCGAGCGATGCCAACCCCCCCCCCCACATTGCGACGGGTCTTCTCAAGGCGCACAGTGCTGCTTTACTTCTTCGACTTGGTCTTCTTCTTGGCCTTCTTGGCCTTCTTCTTGGCCTTGGCGGCCTCCTTGGCAGCCGCGGCCTTGAGCACGCGCTTCACGATCTTCTGCTCCTCCACAAGGAAGGCGCGGGTGATGCGCGAGCGGACGCAGCCCGGGCAGCGCGAGCCACCGTAGGCGCGGTTGACCGAGAGGTCGCTCTTGGCAGCGCGGGACTGCTGCATGCCACGCATGCACTTGACCTGTGGTGACAGAGAGAGGAAAATATGTGAGTGTGTGCGGAGAAAGAGGGGGGAAGGGGGGAGGGGGAAGAAGAGGCCGACACCGGCAAAAACCCCGTCAACCACCATCATTGGCCTGGCTGCCGCACGCCGACCTGCATGCCTGCTCAAAACAGAAGCGACGACGAGACCGCGAACAGCCATGCATGCAGATAGAGGCCGTTGCCCGCGAGAGGGCGCGGCGGCTTCAGAGGAGCAAGAGGACCAGAGAGGCCGACCAAGGCATCCGACCTCCACTCGAACCAACACACAATAATCGACGACGGTGCCGCAACGCCCGGCCTCGCCTACCGCGCACAAGCCTCAGACCAAGCACTGCCTGCCAAAGCAGACGGATAGTAAAGGCGCAAACAGGCAGCGGAGAAGGTGCGCAGCAACAGAGGACAGGGTAGGCGGGGAGGAAAGAGCTGGGGGAGGAGGGGAGGGGGGGAAAGAGCCAAGAGGCGGGCAGCCATCGGATCACGCAGACGGGCAAGAGTTGTGACGTACACCATGGAGCTGAACACCGCAGTCACCGCACGAGACGCCCTTCGGCTTCTTCTTCATGTAGTGGACCACAAGCCGGCCACCGGGGGTCTTGACGCTGTGAAAGGAATGAGGGGAGCGCAGAGCGTATGAGGTGGTGAGTAACTGGGCGAGGCATACAAATTCCGACACAGCATCCCAGGCGCTGTAGACGGCCACGTCCTCCAGGCTGCGGGACAGGCTAGGGCAGGCAAGGCGACACAGACTGTAACGTGGCGCTCGCCTCTCGCTCTCCCCTCTCTAGTCCTCCCTAGATAACGTACACCCGCGTGCGGTTGGACTTGGTGTTGTACGAAAGACGGCGACGGTACGTGACACGCTGCACCATGACGGACCAAAGAGGAGTGTGAAAAGTGAGAAACAGTCAGTCAGCCGACGCTATTTGCGCGAGCTCAACTGGCGCGCCACCGCCAGTCTCGACTCGACCCGTTCGTTCGCTCGCGCGCTCGTTCCATTCGACCCAGGCGGTGGAACCTTCCACCATCTTCCAACCCCGCTCCCGCCAGCGATAACCCTCACCAAGGCCACAGGTCTGCTCTCGCACAGCGCTGACCTCAGACATCGCAACCCACTGCGAGAGCGGCAACGGATGGCGAGCAGTGAATAACAATGTGCCGGTGGCTGGCTATAGTTGGATGACAATCATGACCATTGCGCATAACGTCACCCGCAACCGCACTCCCATCGCGGCGCACTGCACTGACTCGCAGGGCTGCACAGGGATGTTGGTGTGTCGCGGCAAGGCTAGGCGGACGGATACTTCGAGAGCTTCACTGAACATCTTCACCATGATCTGGAATAAGCGAAGATTCATAGGAGAAACGTCCGTTTACTAGCCATGCTACATCGTCGGCGCGCCGTGTCTCGACTCGGTGCGCCTCTGCTCTTCGGCGGAAGAGTTGAAACTACACGCAGACACACCAAACATCCCTCGGCCCGTGCGGGTCCCGGAGCAGGCGTCATATCCACGACACGGCCCGGGCCCACGGATCCGAACTGTTTACCGTCTTCGCCTTCAGAGCTCAAGCTCAGGCACCAAACCCCACTCGCGTGAGCGCCCGCAAAACGGCGCAAGCGCAACACTCCGACGCTGCAATCGCATCCATGGTTTCCACCATCCACCCCCAACTTTTGCTCCGGCCACGACCCTGACCCACATCATCATTGCCCTTGTTAATTTTGCAACGGCTACATCTCGCCCAGCTCCATGGCGACGCTCCGTCGTGTGCCGACACCTCCTCCAGGTGTCGGGAGCTGGTCGGCTCCTGACGGTGCCCGTGACCGATTCATCGGCGAGCTGGCGTCAGCAGACCGCGTATCCTTGGCGAGAGCCAACAGCCGCTCCAGCGCCAGATCCTGATCCTCGCGCTCGCGCACAACCAAGTAGTGCAGGACCGACTCGGCGAGGAAGCGGATGCAAGAGAACACAATGATGACCACCAACGAGAGGCGAAGCGCGTCGTTGGTATGCTCGAGATCAGCCGTGGCCGAGTACGGGATTGCGCGGATCGACCGGTATGTCACACCCATCATGCCGGTGTAGTGGGCGCAGCAAACGGCGCCACCGACAACAAACGAGGCCGCAAAGCGGAGAAAGGCGTACGGCACAAAGAAGACAATCGAGAGGCCGATAAATGAGACTGCAACAGCAACCAAGACACACAACACGATAAAGACAGGATTAAAGATTAGCCGCGCGCCCTCAACCTCGATCGCTGCCATTCCGGTGTAGTGCATGACGCCAACGCCCGAGCCGAGCATGACCGCACCGCCGGCCATGTACGGCGCGTTGGCAACCACATTGCGCAGCGTGGTGTGCATGCTAGCCACAGTGGCCGTCATCCGCGACGACGATGCGCCCCGCCGCATCGGTCTCACCACGCTCTGGCTTCGCGCTCTACCGGCCGCGTCGAGCCGCCGGTGGTTGTTAAGGCCCACCAGCGTGATGTAGAGCGAAGGAAAGACAAAGGCGAGCGGCGCAAAGGCCGACAGCGTCGTGAGCAACGGATCAAACGTGACTTTGCGATCGCCGATCTCCAGCGCAGCCATGCCCAGAAAGTGCATGCTCCACACCCCGCACACCCCAAACACCAGCGACGCGCCCACAAGTAGCAGCATGCTTCGCCGCTGGCTCGTGCTCCTCACCGCCTCGTCAACAAATAGAATGCACGACGCCGAGCCAAACACCGCAGCAAAGTACGAGAACAACACTAGCTGCACATTCCACCGTGTCTCTAGATCCTCACCGGCCATGCTCCTTGCCTACGACAGCAGTGTTCTGTCAAGGGTGACAATCGAACAGCGTGGTCGCAGTCACTCTTGCCACACTCACACCTAGGCACTAGGCACTCCCGTGTCTTGGGGCAATGCCAATGCCAAGAAAGGAAGGGGGAGGGGGGAGGGGGAAGGGGGATAGGAGGAGGAAGAGGGTGAAACGAGGAGTGTGTCTCTGCAAGAGCGCCTCGAGCTTGACCAGGTGCGGGTGGCTCAAGGGAACGAGTCAAGATCACACAGTTGTCCAAAAGCCCACCCCCAACAACGATCAAAGCAAAAACAGCGGGGAAACTACAATTGCTCCGAAGCGGCGGATCGGGGGAGTGATACGAATTGGCAACCAAGGCAGTGTTGGCGACCCGGGTGACCCAAAAGCCGAACAAACTCACTCGCTTGCGTAAGCCTCCCAACACCCACGCACACACTCGGCTCTGCGTGAGTAACTACTCATCTGGACCTTCCCAGCATGGTTCGCAGAAAACAAATTGCGGCTTTGATCGTGGCGATGATCATTGTGGCCGCCTTTGCTGACTCGGGAGTCCAACTTCGTGCATTGGTCTTCAACCTCGACGCCGCCGGCGGAGGAGTGGGGCACTCAGTGGCCGCCGCTGTGACGGCGGCAAACACTACTACGCCGGCCCTTGTCATCGCTCAGTCGCTTCCGGTCGACTTGGCCAGCTACTCGCCGTGGCTCGGGTCGCTTGTGGGGCCTGACCTCGTTCCTCTGCATCCTGCTGCAGGCACAGCGCCGCCTGGCACTCTGCCCAACCCGATGTTTCATGACCTTCCGTCGCCTGCCTCGCCACCACCGCTGCCGGCTATCGCCGCCCTCGCCGCAAACAGTCTCCCGCTCTTCGGTGCCATCTCGACCTGCGCTTTCTCACCTGATGAGCTCACCGGGTTTGAGCTCTCGCCTCCGATCACCTTCTCGCAGTTGCACGCCTTCTGCCACCGCGCTGTCGTGCTGGGTAGGCGATGCCTCGGGCCAGCCGGCAACGCTCCTATCCCGTCGCTCTGGTTTGACCATTTGGCGCTGGCCATGCACGGGGCCACATATACCCACGCGTTTTCGCTCGGCTTCAACGTCTCTTTCACATCTCCGGAAGTCAACGCCACCGTCCACCTCCTCCGATCGTTCGCTAGCGCAGGCTACTTTGGGCCAAGCGATCAGTCGCCGCTACTGGCGTGCGGTTACGATGCGGCGGCTTCCGGCCGCAACGCATCCATTGCCTTTCCGCACTACAACATGCCGATCACCTGGGGTGCGCAGGCGTCCAGCTCGGCTTCGGATCCGCTCGACGTCGGCGTCCTTGGCTTTGCCCACTTCCTTGCCGTCCCTATCAACGCGCCCTTTCCCGCGCTTTCTCGTGACCTCCTCGGCGCTCTCGACGTCGCTAGGAGCTCTGTGGCTGCCTCAGGCTCGGCCTTTCCACTCTGGGTGGGAGGTAGGGCGCTTGCAACCACGCCCGAGGCTATGCTGGGCTACGACCTGACCTCGCACGCCACGAGGTTGCTCGACTGGAGCTACATCACCTTTAGCCCGCCGTCATTCCGCTCTGCATGGCTCTCGGCGCTAGAGATGTTCATAGATCCAGCGGCCAATGTCTCGCTCGCCCAAGAGCTCCAGCGCCTCGAAGCTGCCCGCCTCCAGCATCGGCTCCGGCTCACGCTGGAGCCGCAGGCCCATCCATCGCCGGGCCACTACAAGACGGCGATTGCTGTCCAGCTCACCACATTGACAGCCAATGCTGTCATTTACTTTACGCTTGACGGCTCGCCTCCAACCGCTGGCGCTGCGCAGTACTCGGGCCCAATCGTGCTTGCCTCTTCGGGTGACGTGGTCGTCAAGGCCATGGCCGCTGGCGATGGGCTCAGTCCGTCGCCGGTCCGGACGTTTGTATACGGTCTCGACATTGCCGACGACGGTGATTCAGGCATGTCATCTGCGCTCCTCCTCGCTATCATCGTTCCGCTCGTCCTGTATCTAACCGCGATTGCCTTGGTCATCAGGTACTTGTTGAGCCGGAGCAAGTCTGCACGGGTTGGCGCCTCGGAGCTCCGGCTCTCTGCCGACGCCGACGTCGCGATTTCGCAGGACGAGCTCAGAGTTGGCACGGTGGTTGGTGTGGGCGCCTTTGGAACCGTGTACCGGGCTTTGTGGCGAGGAACTGAGGTGGCTGTCAAACGCGCTCATCGTGCGTTTAGCAAGCGCCAGGACGTCGCCGACTTTATCGAAGAAGCGCGCATGCTAATGAGCCTTCGCCACCGCAACATTGTCATGTTCATGGGCATCGTTCTTGACCCGCCGTCAATTGTCACCGAGTTTCTCGACCGCGGCTCGCTCTATGACGTCATCCATGATGGCAGCATCTTTCTGGACGCTTCGATCGTCTTCCAGTGGGCCCACAACATGGCCCAAGGTCTCGAGTTCCTCACCTTGGCCGGGGTAGTCCATGCCGACTTTAAGTCACTCAACGTCATGTTTGACGCCTCGTGGGTGCCCAAGATCGTCGACTTTGGCATGTCGTCGCTGCGAAGTGACATAGAGGTGAAGCAAGTTGAGGCGGCTGACGCCTCGCTACCTGCTGAGGCTCAGAACCTTGGCTCGCTCTTTTGGGCTGCGCCAGAGATCTTGGACCGCGGGCCGGACGCGCTTTCTGTGGCGTCGGACGCGTACGCGCTGGCCATCACGCTCTTTGAGCTTGCTGCCCGATCGGACCCGTATCCCAACGAGAACCCAATGGCAGTCGCGCTCCAGGTCCGCACTGGTCGCCGACCCAACATCATGCTTGTGCCTGGCGAGCTCGACAGTCTCGCCTCGATCATCACCCGCATGTGGCACGCCGATCCACACCAGCGGCTCTCGCTCGGTGAGGCCGCGCGCATGCTCGAAAGTCTTTACGAGCCGTCTGAGGTTATCTACCCGTCGATGCAATCGATCCCGACCGGCACCGTGGTTGTCATCGCCGTCACGTTCTCAAACATCGAGGCTGCACTCAGCGACGCCCTCGTCCACACCGCCCATGCGCTCAAGCTCTTCCACTCCTCGATCCGCGAGACTGCCCTTGAAGCGGGCGGAACCGTCGTCGACTGGGGGTTGGCCACCGTCACCGTTGCGCTCCATCGCCCTGCCCAAGCTGTCCTGGCCCTTGAATCGCTCACCCAGCTCGATTCAGCGCTCGGCAGTAGCAAGATCGGCGTCGTCGCTGTCTACGGTGGTGTCAGCAAAAGTCGCGGCGACGGAGGCTTGGCCACCCTCGTTGGCTCAGCCATGGAAGCACTCGACGAACTCTGTCGGCTCACCGCAGTCGAGTCGGAGCCCGGCTTCCATATCCAAGGTGAGCTGGTCTCCGCCTTTCCCGGCGGACCGTCGGACATTGACCTTGACTTCATTCCCATCTCGTTTGAGGAACGGCGTGCCCGCTACGTTGCAGATGCTGCCGCTGACGATCACTGCGATCGCTCGGCTGCCCCGGGCAAGGCCGACCTGTACTCGCGGTCGCGAATAGCCGAGAAGGGCAACAGCTCACTCCTTGACTCACTTCTGGCGCTCACGGCCAAGGGCCAGAGTATCAAGGCTGAGCCTGATCGCGTGGGCTCGACCTTTTTAATCTCCCGCGACGCTATCCAAGACCTCATCGATGAGAGCGGTGAAAAGATGACCGGATCGTACGCCACGCTCTACCCAGCGGAGCTCGACGGGATGGGTAAGGTGCTCATCAAGGTCTCGCTGCGGCAAACTTACACACCCGAAGATCTCGTCGCCTACGTCAGCGCGATGAAGCGCTCCGCCGCTCTGGTTGCTGGCTCGCCGCTCCTGGCAGCGCCCATCAGCGTCTGTGCCACTCCGCCGCTCGTCTCGTGCGTCGTCCCGTACCTCCCGCTCGGCTCGCTTGAGGTTCTCCTTGTGAAAGCCTTTCGGGCCGCGAGCAGCGGCGTGGACGTCGACATGCCGCTCACTCCGGCAACAACGCTTACGATCGCCCGCTCCCTCGTCGCCGCTCTCGAGGTTCTCCACCGCGACCGCGGTCAGTATCACGGCGCGCTTCGGCCAACCAACGTGCTCCTCCGCGGCTCAGACGTGGCAGACATCTCCGGTGTGGTGCTTTGCGACTTTGGCCTCAACGCCATCAAGCACAACATGGCGACGATGACGCTCGCCCCGTCGGTCGCCTACATGGCGCCCGAGTCACTCCGTGGCGAGCCGGACGCCATGGAATCAGACATCTTTGTCATGGGCACCCTCCTCTTTGAGCTCACTGCACACATGCAAGCTTTCTCCGGCTCTAACGCCGTCGAAGTAGGCTTCCGTATCATGCGCTGCCAGCTCCCACCGCTCGAGCATGTCCGCTCCAGGCTCCTGCGCGACGTCATCACCCGCTGCTGGATGGCCGAGCCGTCGCAGCGCCCAAACATCACCTCGCTCAAGCGAGCTCTCGACGCCGCGACCCAGGCCGACTTTCCTGGGGGATGAGAGTCACATTGTTCTGCCGCTGTCGCCTCGTCTCGCCGCATGCCCGTGTCACACGCGATGGCACACTCCACCCCCACAAAAGGAACACACACCCGTCAGGCAAGGCACCACCGTGCCACGCATCGCATCGCATCTCTCTCTGTGGCACAGCACCCGGCTCAGTCCTTGTGCTGTTCACTTCCTTCCAAGCCTGCGCCCTCACATTGCTCCGCGAGGCTACCTTCCCCGCGCCCGCGCGAGCGCTGACTCGGAAGCTCTTTGTCGTCGAACTTTGCGCCCGTCCGCCACGCGCTTCGCGAGCCGACGGCAATGCAGGGCTTGCCTACGGATGATGACCTCTGTGCGGGCCTGGTGGAGGTGATGGAACACTTTTACGCGTCGGCGACGCCTGCGGCCCCGTGCCCTGTGGTGGATGCCGCGCTGGAGACCGCCGAGCGGCTGGCGGCTGTGGACTACGAGGTGGTTCGCGTGGCCAATCCGGGCGGCATTCTGTGTGGAACATACGCAGCCCGGGTCCTTATCCTCAACGCGCGGGCGGCCGATGCGCGAGCGCCCGGGCCGACTGACTCTGCCACGCTGCAGGCGCTGTTCTTCAAAGCCCGGCAAGCGCGAGTCCGCGGCCGCTTCGTGGTCCCAGTCATCCCCTTCCGTGGGCGGTTCATCTGTCGCTCGTCGACGCTCGCGTCCAAGAAAGAAGCACTCGGGCAAACCGTGCTCTTTACGGCCAAGTCGTCGCTGCGGTTTGCAAGCGCGGTGGCGACGCCCGTTGATGATGCGAGCGAGCTGGAGGTCGAGGGCGCAACCGCGTCGCGGACCGCCGCCACCGGCGACATTGTCGATCGTGCCCGCGAAGCCGACATTGCGCTGCTTAAGGCGCTCGGGGTACGCTACGTCTGTGACCTCATGGTCGAGGGCCGCAAGGTTAAGTGGGGCATGTTTGTGTGCTCATCCGAAAAGGTCGATTCGTTCCAGCGGTACCAGCGCGCAGGCATCTCCATCAACGCCATCCCCTACCCCGGCGTCGAACATTTTGCCGCCTTTGCCGCTGCACCCGAAGCTGCCGACGAGCTTGTCTTTGACTGGAGCCACGCCGAGTGCAACTCGGTCCTTGCGCTTGATGCTCCTCTGCCTGGGCGCGCCGCCCATCTCTCGTGGCAGCACTACCAATCGTGGTCGCTCGTCACCATGACCGAATCGTATCTCCTTTTCATGCTGGGCCTCCTCGACGATCGGCACGAGCCGGCCGGCCTCCTTGTCCACTGCATTTCGGGCTGGGATCGCACTCCGCTCTTCATCTCGCTCCTCCGTCTCTCGCTCTGGGCCGACGGCCTTGCTCATGCCTCGCTCTCGCCGCAGGCCATCCTTTACTTTACCTTAGTCTACGACTGGATGGCCTTCTCGCACAAGCTCAGGGATCGGGCTTCGCGCCACGAAGACATCCTCCCGTTCTGCTTCTTCATGCTACCACGCATCGCCGCGCAGCACTTTGCCCTCGCGCCCGCGCCCGCGCCCGCAGCTGATCCTGAACCAGCCGCCCCGGTGCCCGTCCCCGCCGACCTGCAAAGCCCTGCAGCGGCGTCACGCCTCCGCTCGCATTCGGTCGAGCACAACACACTTGATCTTGCCGCGCTGCAGTCATCGCTCGGCTCATGGCAGTACGTAACCCGTGAGAGTGAGCGCGGCAACGAGGCCCTGAGCCTCCGCGCCACCAAGCTCCAGGCTGTTTGCGACCTTTTTGCCGACCTCCACGCAGCAACTACACCGACGTCTGCAGCATCTACTCCATCGAACTGGTTCTTCGGCTCGATCGTCGACTGGCTTTCGCCCTCGGTCTCACCGCGGGGCTCGGCCTCGGCTTCGGCATCAACATCGGCCTAACGCTGGCTTTTCTTCCAGCACTCTGACATGCTTGCCCCTGTGTGGAGTCTCACATGTAAAGCATGCCGCCGATGACCGAGCCCGATCCGGCCTGGCCACAAGCGGTGGAGGCTAGCCACCTCACTCCCGCCCCCCCCCCCCCCCCCACCCGCCGCCCGCGATACCCATTGTTGCTGTGTGCAACACCGAGAGAGAGACGCAGCATGGGCAACTCCAGCACCAAGATAGACGGCTCCAAGCTGACCGGCATGCACAAGGCTGCGTACGAGGGCTCTGTGGTGGGCGTGTCGCGGGCGCTCGACAAGCGTTCCGACGGCATCGACGAGTACGACGACCACGGCCGGACGCCTGTCCACTGGGCCGCACTGAGCGGTCACTTGGACGTGGTCATGTTCCTTGCTTCACGCGGCGCCTCACTCGGCGCCCACGACAGGCCAGCTCGCTCCACTCCGCTGCATATTGCCGTTTCGCTCGGCCATGCCCACATTGTCGAGTGGCTCCTCGCCATGCCGCGGCTTGAGCTCAATGCATTGCCGGCGCAGGATGCGGATGACAACACGGCAGCGCCAAGTGACGAGAAAAGCCGTGATCTAGCCCCGTTTTCGCTTGCTGCTCGCGATGCAGACGACCAGACTGCGGTTCACTTTGCTGCCTACGAGGGCTCTATTGACATGGCACGCCTCCTGCTCGACGCCGGCGCCGAGCTCGATCCGGTCGACACCGAGGGGCGGACGCCGCTGATGTGGGGCGTTTTTAATGGGCATGTTGACTTTGTGCTCGAGCTAGCGTCAGCAGGCGCAGACATCAACAATCAGGACAGACTCGGGCGGACACCACTCATCTATGCAGCACACCGCGGCCACCCCGATGTACTCGAGGCGCTGCTCGATGCGGGCGCCGACCCGTTCGTTGTTGATGATCAGGGCCAGTCACCGCTTGACCACGCACTGTATTCAGACTCGAGAACATGCATCAAGATTCTCAAGCACATATTTCGCAACACAGGCTCGTCTCCCGGTCCTCGGCAAGCTGTCGCAGCTGAAGTCACCCCTGCCGACGCCGCCGCGCTACTTCACAGACTCAAGGCAACTGAACAGGCGCTCCAGTGCGCCGAGAGCGAGCTGCTCCGGGTCCGCGAGGCTGAGGCAGCTGGTGTTGGTCCGCCACCGACTGTCACCGCTCCGCGGGCAAGCACACCACCGACACCGCCAAACAAGTTCATGAAGCAGCGGGTCCTTGACCTTTCGGTCGAGGTCCGTGAGCTCACCACTGAGCTCCGCGAACTCCGCGCGGTGCACCAAGCGGATTGCGCTCGCATCCGCGACCTGGAGCTGGCGCTCGAGTTGCAGCGCGACGCCGAGCGGCTTGCGGCGCTCGGGTTAGAGGTTCCGGACATGGGCAACTTTATCCTCGATGACGACGTGGATCACTTTGTCAACGCGGCGTTTGATCCCGAGTACCGGGTGGCAGCATGGGCGCCAGAAGGGGATGCATGAGCACACACACACACACACACACACACACACACACACACACACACACACACGACGACGAGTAGCCGCTACGACCCGGCCGGCGACAACGAGTCGCTGCCTGCACCACGCCGAGTGGTGCCGAGCGAGTCGCGCTTACGGCGCAGGCGCTGGCGTGTTTGCAGCAGCGCCAGCTCGCTCTCGCGATCCTTGACGGCTTGGTACGCATTGTCGTGCTCGCGGGCCTTGGCGACGGCATAAAACGCAACCGCAAGCGCAAAGACCACGCAAATGCCGATGGCTGAGACAAGGCCGATGAACAGGTGGGTGTGGGCCGAGTCGGAGAACTCTTCAACAATGTCACCGCGGTTGGACATGCCGGTCACGACGCAGCCCGAGCCTGATGTGCACCGCACAACTCCGTAGTCGGCGACGCCGCTCTCTTGCAGCAGCGAGCGAGCGGACGCCGTGCGATCCATGTGAACGATGCGGACAAAGCCAAAATCGCCGAGCACCGTACCGAGGCTAGCCACAGTCATGGTGGCATTGACCGGGAAGACAAAGCCTGGGCGGATGCTGAGAGTGATGACGGCGGGGCCATCAAGGCGCAGAACGCCAGCCACCGCCAGCCGCGGCGTTGCCGAGTCGGCTGACCCGCTCACCGCCAGCTCGTAGCTCGCCGACTGGCTGAGTGTGGCGTCGGTCACCGCCACCGCCTGGCCGTCGAGCTTGAGACTCCCGGCCGAGACCAGAGCAGTGACTGTCAAACTCCCGCCGGTTGCCTCAACGCCAGCTCCGGCAGCCACCGTCAGACGGGTCACCGTCGTTGCTGCCTGCGTCTGCAGCGCAGCACCGGCCTCGAGCACGACTGACGCCGCCGAGAACGCAGCTTTGACACGCAGCACACCGCCGCGGGCCACCGTCAGCTCGCCGGTGTAGCTCAGTGGGTCAAGCACTTCGACGTCACCCTCCACCCGCGCGTCGCGCGACGTGTTGTCTGCCGACGTGATGTTGTTGCGGAGAACGGCGTCCGAGCTACGTGGTGTGACCGACCCTGCCCCAGCCGGAACGACAGCCGCCGCCACCAGTACCAGCGCCATGACCGCCACCAGGCATACCACTCGAGCTGGTGCCATTGGGTGTGTGGAGATGAAGGTGGTGGGGGATGGGTAAAGTGCGTGAGGTGTGGCGCGAGGGGGAGGGGAGGGGGGGGGGGGGGGGGGGGGGGCTGGCGGCTTTTAGCACCGGTTGGGCAGAGACAACTACGCTGGGCTATTACTCTCGCTGCATGTTTCGGCGCCTGCGGAAACGATCGACGGACGATGAGCGATGCCGATCAAGGATGGGGTCCGGATCAACATCTGGCCGGCGGCGGGCAACGACAATGTCCGAAGCCGAGTCGTTGTCGTTCTCGGCGAGTCCTGGGTTGAGATTCTGCGCGACAGCGGCGGCCAGGACGTGCGAGGCCCAATCAGCCCGCGATCGGCGCCGCGAGAACGGCTTGGACAGCTCACGCGCGAGCGACTTGTGCGGGAGCCGCCCTTGTGGAAACGGTGGCGGTGAGAGGCTGTGGTCGGGATCGTACTCGCTCGTGTACGACGAGTCCGACTCGTCATGAAGCTGTGACGATTGGTGTCGGAGCAGGAGACCCGACGCCATGGCCAGGAGCGGTGCTGGGCCGAGTGCCTCCAGGCCAAACGTAATGTCCTCAGTGAGCAGGGTCCGCGAGCGGGCCATGGCCGCCAGCTTCTTCTTGCGGAGCGCAGCGAGTGTCCGCTGCATGTTGTCGCCACCGGACTTGCGGACCCGATCGCGGGGAACCCGGCGCGGGGGCCGCGAGCCCGGGCCCAGCCGTGCCGACAACGAGCGCGGGAACGACTGCTTAAGCTGCATCCGCGCGCTATTGTCCAGCAGAGTCGACTGGAACCGCAGCATGTTCTGTGGTGAGGGCGGGGAAAGATGCCCGCCTGACGAGCTTGGCGGCGGCAGGTCACGCGGTTCCCAACTCTGATACGGGTTGGATGCAAGCGCAACTTCCGGCGGCAGTGGCGGATAGCCCGCCTGCTCATAGGCATGCGCGGCTTCTTCGTAGTAGGCAGGCTCATCAAGCGCCGAAGACGTCGCTGTCGACGTCTCCCCGCTCCGCGAATGGTCCGAATGAGAGCCAGAGTCGGACTCGCTCGAACGCACAAGCGGAAGCAGGCGAGCCTCATCGCGTGGCTGAGATGTTGCGCCGTGTATCGAGTTGGACGACAAATCGGATGCGTTCGAGTCGGACGCTGAGCTACGACGCGCCGTGGTCACAGGCATTGGCACTATGATGCCTGGTGGCGAGATCGAGGTCAGAACAATTTGTCCGGCCGAAGTTGACGCCGAAACATGGCCATGCTCCGACCAGTCCCCGCCTCCATCGTTACCTTTGCCCATCTGCCGGTCTGCAGACATGCTGGCAGCGGCATCGTCGGTGGGGGCTCTGTCCGACGCGCTGTCCGCAGCGAGAGGTGCTGCCGACGCCTTGGCCAGCTTGCGCTGCCGGCGCCACATGCAGAGGACAAGCAAGCTGCAACAGCAGCAGATGAGAAGCGCAAGCAGCAACGAGCCGCGAATGAGCCACGTCTCGCCTGGATCCATCAGCCACTCGATGTGGGCGGCAATGCCAGTTTTGGAGCTCTCGGTCGCGGGGCGGACGTCGGGCGCAAAGTCAGCGTAGCCCGAGTCGCCACTGACAAGCGCGACAATCGGGGTCACAGCAGCATCACTATCGACGAGATGAACCCAGAAACGTGAGGCCATAAAGGCTTCAAACGCGTTGCCGCTCGCCACAGCTGAATACTGGCTTGATGGCGCGGGCAGCAAGGTCCATGCCCACGACCGCGAGACTTCGGATCCCGAGTAGACGTACCCGGCGCCGTTCTCCAGATACGCAACGGCAACTCTGCCAGTGTCGAGCAAGTATCCAGCACGCGGCGCATCCGTGACGAAAAAGACTTGGTAGCGCGCACCCGGCGTCGGCGGAGTACCGATCGAGGCGTAGGTGACCGCGTAGACGGCAACAACGTCTGCATCGGCCGCGGTGATGACCTCGCGCAAATCGTTAGCCGGTGCTAGGTCCGGCAGTTGCGCGCGGGTAGAGACGGCATGGCCGGGGTCGTTGGCGGCGTCAGGGATAATGCGAACAGCGAGGTCGGCAGCGTGAGACGAGGCAACGAGCGCCGGCCACTCGGCGCCATTGCCATCTATGCCGAGGGCCAGCCGCGGCGGTCCGGTCCACGGACTTTCTGGCGGTGCCAGGGGAGGAACCGCTGCGCTGATCTCGGGGACGTAGTCAGAGACATCGTCATCGGTCGTGCCCAGCGTTCCGCGATCGTTGCGGACTTGGGCATAGACGGCAATAGGTGTGGAGGGCGGTGTGAGACCAGCAAATGCAGAGTGCTTCATGGTGACCTCAATGTTGGCACCAGCGGCGGCAGCAGCAAAAGTCTCCTCGCTCACCCGCGCCCAGACCCAGTCGCGTGCAAGGCCGCTGCCGCTGTAGACGTAGCCAAGACCATCAGCGATCATGGCAACGGCGTAGACGCCGGGCTTCAGCTCGTAGCCTCCCGAAGGAACACTCGGTGCAGAGACGGCAAAGAAGATCGAGTGGTGCAGGCGCGAGGAGCCGCCCGGCGCCGGTGTCCCGTACGTCGAGACAAGAGCGCTGGTGGCACTTTCGTAGGTGAGGCTCTTCAGCGCAGCGTAGTCTCCAGAGGCCGGGTCAATGTCGGTGGCGTAGAGGTTGTTGGAGGTGCGACCATCGTTGCGCGAGTCTGAGACAAGCAAAGGCGACAGCGTCGGCGGGAGGGCGAGCCAGTCAGCTTCGAGCCCATCCACCATGATAGGCCCCGAGAGACCAGGCGGAGGCGGCGGTGACGGCAAACCAGGCGGAGGCGACGGTGGCGATGGTGGGCCAGGTGGCGCAGGGCCAGCAAATGGCCCGGTGTTGGGCACGTAGTCAATGAGATCGTCGCCAAAGTTAGTTGGCGAGCCTTGGAACGAAGTCGAGCGTGCAACAATCTTAAACGGCTCGGCAATCGAAATGCTCAGGTCGGCCCAGAGCTCGCGCGAGAAGCGGAACTCGGTGTGGCGGCCAAGTGTGGCGACGCCAAACTGCGACGGCAGCGTGACCGGCGACCACGACCAAAGCGCCGAGCGCCGCGGACCCGAGTAAAGGTATCCCTTGCCGTCGAGGACCATGGCGATGGCGTAGTCGGAGCCGCCAAGGGCATAGCCGCGGCTGGCGGCCGAGAGCGGGACAACAAAGACTGCCGTTTCGACGTCAACCGGCCGCTTGGCGGCACTCCACATGGAAAAGGCACCGTAGACGGTGGAAAAGTCGGTGGCGTGCTTGACTTCAGCAAAGTCGTTCTGGCGTCCAATAGCGTGCGGGTACGGCAGAGCGTCGATGACTCGCAGAGCGTCATCGGGGCCGTCGGTGACAGAGGTGTGTGCAAGGCTAGCCCACTCGGCAATGATGCCATCGACAACGACGCCGGCACCGGGTTCGGGTTGGCTCATGGTGAGCGAGAGAACCTCGGTCGGCGAGGCCGGCAGCTCCTTGTCGCTGCCGCTCATGGTGATGCGGATGAAGACCTGGAGCTCTTTGGCTTCGAGGCCCTCGAGGGCGGCGGCGGTGGTGAGAAGGGTACGAGCGATGACAAAGTCGACCCCAGGCCGGCCAGGCTCGGCCTTGACGCCTGACGCAGGCACGGTGGACGGGACGGGGATCCACGCCCAGTCGGTCTGGGTCACGGCGTTTTCCTCGTCGTAGACGTGGAGTACCGAGTCGATAAAGACAAAAAGCGCCGAAAAGCCGGGCCGGCCAAGCCCGGTGTAGCCGCGGTCGAGATCCTTGATACCTAGAAAGACCTTGACAGAGCCAAAGTGCGGGATGGGATTGGCAAGGACGTCGAGCTTGGCACGACGCGGGACGGCGCGGACTACAACATTGTGGTCCGAGTGGGCAAGGACGACTTCGATGACGTCTGCGTCAGGGTGAAAGCCCGGTAGGATGTCAAAGTCGTAGTGGCCCTGGATCTGCGAGCGGGTGCGAGCGGCCCAGTCGGGGAGGCCGAGAGCTTCAGGAACGCATGTCCACGCACACACGCCGCCGCAGTCGACACCCTCTTCCGCCGCATCGAGAAAGCCATTGGAGCAGTGAGGAACACCACAGTTGCTTGAGCACACCCCACCGCAGTCGACGCCCTCCTCAAGCGGGCCAAGGCGGCCGTCGGAGCAGTGCGGGATGATGGCCCACGGTGGGAGGCCGCTGGCAGGACCCCGAGCTGGAAGCCACGATGCAGAGCTGGCACCGAGAACATCCTGTTCTAGAGCAGCCATGACCAGGAGCGGCGCAGTGACGGTAGGCTCGAGCGAGATGCCGACCTTGGCAAGGAGCGAGACATCAAAGGCTAGCTCGACGACGCCGCTTGAGAGGATGGTCTTGGCGCTGACCCCTGCGCTCGACTCGGGCGCCCACATGGCCTCTGTTCGTGTTGGATCATAGCCGAGGGCGGCACGGACGGCCGGCGGCGAGGGACGGATGGCTTCGGGCGAGCCCGAGCCGACAAAGCGCCAAGGCGAGCCATCAAAGTAGGCCATACGTGGCGTTGGTCCAGCAACCGCAAGAAAGAGGGCGACGTCGGCGACGACATCGATGGCGCCGTACCTGGCCATCGACACCGAGTCGAGGCGAATGTAGAGCTTTCCGGCCGTGACGTTGGTGGCGAGGAAGAGAGCTGACTCGCCGTCGACCGATTCGCCGATGAGCGCAGTGGCAACAAACGGATAAAGCTCCGGGCTAGAGGTGTGACGTAGGCGAAGCGGAAGGCCTTTGCCGCCGGTCAGCACAGAGGCCGGGATGGCATCCGAGACACCGTTGCCTGCGGCCGGGTTGGCAACAATGGTGGCGTGAAGATAGATGGCAACAGGCGGCGAGGCGATGGAGTAGAGGAGCTCGGGCGGGATGGCGATGACGACAACACGTCCCGAGGTGTCTTGGTAGCCAACAGACCACTCGCGGCCGTTGGTAGGCGTGGGCACGACGATCCAACCCCAGGAGCGGCCGGCCGCCGGGTCGTGGCGGTAGAAAACGTCGTTGAGGATCATGCGATCAAAGCCGGCGGAGAGGTAGCCGGTCGAGTCAGACTCGTCGGTGTTGATGAAGAGAATGACGTCGCCCTGACGAAGCGGAAAGTCGCCATCAACGGTGATTGTGGCCACTATGAGGTTCTCGACTGGGCTGTGGGCCGCCGAGAGCGAGACCATGTTGGGCGCGTTCGAGTCGAGCGAGGAGTCGGGCGACGACTCCCACGACATGGCCGAGGCCGTGGTGATGGGTGAGGGGTATGGGAGGGCGAGTGAGGTGAAAGGCGGGGTGACCTCGAAGGAGTGCACGAAAAACTCGTTGTTCGTCTCGTCGGCCTCTGGGATGGCCTCGGTAGCATCGAGGGTGATGGCGAGCGAGTACATGCCGACTCGCGAGATGGGAGGATGGGTGGCGCGGACGGTGGTGGTCGCCGACGGCAGCAGGTGCGGCGCTTCAAAGTTGCCGACCTGAGCTTGGGCAAACGACGACCAGATGAAGGCTCTGCTTGCCTGAGCGATGCCGGCGCCGACGTTGGCGTACGTTACCAAGAGGTCAAAAGACGAGCCGGCCGGCGGCTGCGGTGGATCAAGGACAACCGAAGAAACGACGAGGTCTGGCGGCGGCGAGTGCTTGTAGGTAGTGCCGTAGGCAATGTTGAAGAACGACTCGAGGAGGACGTCGTCATGATTGTTGGTCGTGTCATACTCAATGACGCCGGGCTCAAGCTCAACGGTGGCGTACACATGGTTGCCAATGGTTGAGCTGCCGAGCGAGACGGGAACGACGACGGTGACAAGGCCACCCGGCGAGGTGTAGAAGCCCTCTGAGAAGAAGATGAGCCGCGAGGAGAGGAGCTCGCCGTTGTGGTAGATGGAGAGAGTGGCTGAATACGGATCTGCCAAAGGCGGCGGCCCTGCGCCGCGGTTGACAACAACTACAGAGACCGGCGTCGAAGCCGGGATAGAGACCCAGCCAGACTCTGCGACGGTGCGGGTAAAGTCAGGAATGATGGAAACGATGACAAGATCCGGCGCGCCACCGTAGACCTCGGGATGGTGGATGTTGTAGACAACGTCGTCAAACTCGGCCAGCGAGCGCGACGGCGAAATGTAGGTGGGAAATCCTAGGGCATCAGTCTCGGCGAGGTAGTCTCCCGGATTGCTGTACCACGGCGCACCGAGAGCCTCGCCAGACTCGCGGGCGGCAAAGACAACGGACCAGTAGTCGAGAATGAGGGTGGTCAAGCCGCGGCCGTCTTGGTTGTCTTGAGCTGCGACAATGTCGGCAACGACGGTGGCGGCCCCCGAGGGCGACATCCAGTGGTTCGTGTCTGCGGCCCACGACTCCCAGTAGATGGCGTTGATGTAGGAGCGAAAGTCGTCGACTCGTGAGCCAGCGAACGAGGGCATGGCCAGGTGGAGCGGGCGATTGCCGATGAGTAGCGCGTCCGGGTAGGTGTAGGCGATGCGGGCAATGAGGTCCACACCGCCGTGGCGGAGCCAATAGTAGGCCTGGGGGGCGAGGGCGTCGAGCGTGTCAAGGAAGAGGCCATCCATGCCGAGGTCGTTGAGGATGTAGTCAAAGCCGGCCATGGCGACCGTCCCAATAGTCGCCTCTTTGAGAAACTGGAACCAGAGAGGGTCGCCCGGGTTGACGTACAAGCCGCCCCACTCGCTGTTCTGGTCGGGCTTGCCGTCGGGAACGGCTTCAAAATAGGAGCCTCCGGCATCTGTAAACGTGCCCGACATGTCGACGTAGAACGAGGGGTAGCCCTGGCCTTGCAGCCACATCGCGCCGGTCTCGTACGAGTGGGCCAGCGGGCCGTCGCGCGAGTTGAGGCCGGCACGAAGCGAGGCGTTGCGCGGATCGTTGAGAGTGGCGCCGACCCGCGGCTCGCCATAGTCCTCACAAACGGAGACGTATCCGATGACGATGGTGTCGTCTTCGGTGCCGAGAACGTTGTCGGGCCCGTCGCGGAGGTCGCGGACCTGGTCTGCGGTAATGAGCGAAGAGCCACCACCCGGATGGCAGATGACGAGGTCATAACGCTCAGCATGGCGGATGTGGTCGTCGGTCCATGCTGAGAGGAACAGCAGGTAGTCAGAGGTAACGTTAATGCCTGGGAGCGGGCCGCGGAGTACCGAGCCGATGGTCCGGTCGTGCGAGCGATATGACGGCGGGAGAAAGTCGCCAGCCGCAGTGACTACAAAGGCCGAGTAAAAGTACGAGGTGACAGGGGCGAGCTGAGGCGAATTGTCGACGAGGTCAAGATGGGCGCCGGCATCGGCGGAGGCGTCGAGTGCGTTGTCGACGACAATGGTCACGTTTGTCGGAGCACCCGAGGCCAGCGGGGCAGCCGGCATGCCGACGGGCGAGCGGGCGATGACTAGCCTCGCACTAAGAGGAAGAACAGGCGGGAGGTCGACCGAGAGCGCAAACGAGGTCGGGCCGAGCGGACTGACTTCGAGAATCGGCTGGGCACGCGGCAAGACGACGTCACGCGGCGCAGGGCCTGACGGCGGGACAAAGATGGTTCCGTTGGCGGCGCGAGCCAAGACGACGACGCTCACGGTGACGTTGTCGTAGAGCGCAAGCGCCGGTGGCTCAAGCGTGTACGGGCTGGCGGCGGCGGCGCCGCAGGAACAAGGGTGGTGGCGGTAGGGCCGAACGAGGCAAACAGCGGCGCGGTGGCGTCAAAGCCAGGGGTGGGGAAGGTGTCGATGTTGACGATGGCGAAGAAGCGGAAGGAAACTAGGGCGGCATAAGCGTCGGGGGTGCGAGGGCAAGCGGCGTGCCCGCCGGAACGAGACCATGCAGGACCGAGAGAGGTATGGAGAAACGCATGACACTGACGTCGGGCGTGGCTGGGAACGGCGTCGTGGTGTTGACCTCAAAGGCGTCGCCGGTGGGCGGATAGGCGAGCGGGCCAACGATCGAGCCCGACGACTTGAGGAAGCTCGGATTGTGAGCGCCCACGACAACAGTGCTTGTAAAGACCTCCAACCGCACGTCCATGCCGATCGAGGTGCCGCGGTACGACCCGCCTGTCGTGCCTGAGCTGTCGAGGTCGAGGAACAAGACAAGATACGGCTCCAGGGTCTGGATCCAGAACGACAGGTGAGGCTCGTCAAGCGAGTCGTCGACCCACAACGAGAGCTCTTGCATGTACAGCTTGTCCTCGGGAGCGTATGGCCACGCCTCGCTTCCGCTCCCGGTCAGCGTGGTGCGGAATCGCTGCATTGCGGTGAGAGGCGGGCCCGCCGAACGCTCGCTCCCGTCGATCACAGCCGCACCAACAAGCCACGACTCCGCATCGGCAGGTGGCGCCGGGAACGTCATCGCGAGCTGGGGAAGGAAGGGGCCAGGAGCTACAGTCCACCCGGCCACGGTTGTGGCCGTGGCAACGAAGCAAATTGTGAGCAACAACAAGTATCGCATCCTCTTGCCTCATCAAAGTGGGGTGGGGTGAGGAACGTTTGCCAAGGGCCAAGCGGATGCGGGACAGCAGGTCAATGCCAATGAAGTTGTCATTAGTCGTTGCGGGAGCTTGCCGCAGTGCGAGGCTCCGAGACGGACGATGGAGAGGCGAAAAGAGCATACCACGTCATGCGTGTGATAAACAGGTAGCTAGCCTGTGTGATCGAGCTGTGGGGCGTGCGTGGGAAGCCTTGTCGAGAGCGAGGTAGGTCGAGCATGACAACAGGGCAGGCACCAGTGGCAAAACACGTAACTATAACAAAAACAAGTCAAATCATCCAAAAATTGTGTATTTATATATTTAAGTGTGTAATACTGACATGTTTTTGGATTTTTTTACTTGTGACAATAATAGTTTTACTATTTCTTATTTGTATTTATATTTATATATAGTTGGGAATGTGGATTATTAATGTTGGATATATGAGCGACATCGTGGCGGCGAGCGAATAGCCTGAGCTACGGCTCAACGTTGACTGTTAGTGGCCTCTACTACATATAGATCTTTAGCCCATGATGTGATCTATCTGTTGATGTGTAGGGGAGGCTCTAAAAAGTCTCATATCTTGACAAAAGCCCAATAGCGATCGAGGACGTGCAATCAACCCGACATCAGGCAAGAGCACATTCAGCTGGAAAACAAATCGAGGCAGCAGTCTGTCGTACGATCGCCGGCTGCGCCGCGATCTGCACAACAGCTTGCGGCGACCCAAACCCGCACATGTCAAGCACCGAGCGTGAGCGCTAGACCTCTCTCTAGTTTCAAGACGAGCGCTATGCAGAGGTCCCCACAGCGTCCGGGCCGAGCACCGTGGTCATGGACCCGCTCCACAGCCGCACTTGTCATCCTTCTGGCGTGCTTGGCGCATGCGAGCGAGAGCCTTGTCAGCGGCTACCTTCCGGTCATCTGCATGCACGGCTTCTCATACACCAACAACGCGGGAACGGTGGCGGACTTTGACGACATCATAAGCTGGCTCGGCGAGGCACACCCAGGCCAGTCGGTAGTCTCGCTCGACATCAACAACGGGATCGAGTCAATGAAGCCGATGTGGGCGCAGCTGTACGAGACGGCAGCGCTGGTGACCAAGACGGTGGCGAGCAATCCGCAGCGGTACGCGGGGGCTTCCACATGCTCGGCCACTCGCAAGGTGGCCTCCTCTTGCGTAACGTCTTGCAGCTTGTTGATGGCCTCAAGGTCGCCAACTTTGTCTCGATGGCCGGCATCCAGCAGGGCTACTACGGCACCGCCGTGCTCGAGCACATCCTGCCCAACGTGACCGAGCGCGCGCTCACCCGGATCCTCTACACCCGCGAGCTTCAAGACTCGCTTTCTGTTGCCAACTGGTGGCACTCGCCGTTCGAGAGCAACGTCGTCAGTGCACAATCTACGCCTGGTTGCCTCGGAGTCTCGTACCTGGCCGACAACGACTACCTCCCATCGCTCAACAACATCCGGGCTAACAACGTAACCGCCGCGTACAAGACCAACTTTGTGGCCAACGTCGACCACCTCTATCTCTTTGGCTCACCCCAGGACGGCACGGTTGTCCCGTGGATCTCCGAGCTCTTTGGCTTCTTTGGCCCTAACGACCTCTCCACCCTCATCGAAATGGAGGACACGCCCGAGTACGTCGACGACACCTTTGGTCTCCGCACTCTTGATGCCCTCGGCCGTCTGCACCGCACCGCCGTCCCCGGTATCGAGCACTCGCAGTGGCTCCACAACAAGACCAACTTTATGGCGCACATCGCCCCGTTGCTGTATTGATCCATTGATCCATTGATCCATTGATCCATTGATCCAGACCTCATACCTCATGGGGTCTTCTGCTTGTCAATGAGCATGAAAACGGTACAGCAGGACGGGCTCAAGTCCACACCCCCAGTCCCCCCCCCCCACTCCACCCCGCCACCCCACCCCACCCCCACCCCACCCACAGCTACACAAGACCACACACATCACGCACACACTCGTCCCCATGGAGTCCCATAGCCACTTGCATGACCACTCCCACTCCCATCCTCACCACAGTCCTGGTACCGCCGACGACGGTGTCGTGCTCTCGGGCGAGGTCCACGAGGCGCTCGACCCAGCGGAAGAGGAGGCGCGCGAGGAAGAACACTTTCGCGACATTGTCCGAGCCATTCTGTTCTACCGGCTCGCTTCGATGCGGTCGATTGAGCTGAGCGCGCTGCGGCTCGGCCAGCTACCGCCAGCCCACCGTGCCCGGCTGCAGCCGATCATGGGGCCTGCGCTGACCAAGTGGCGGGCGTGCGTCGAGGCTAACTACGAGGTTCTCGTTGAGATTGTCGATGTTCTGGGTCTGCCATGGCTGCCTCGCCCTCAGAACGCGTCTGACTCGCTGGTGGAACTCATGCGGGGCAAGGATCGCGCGTTCTTCGGCAACATTCGTCCACAGGACTCATCCAAGGTCGAGTCGACACTGCGACAGTTTGTTCGCGACTGGGCCGCCGATGGCGCAGCCGAGCGCGACGCGTGCTACGGGCCGCTCCTCGACGCAGTCGACGCCGCCTTTGCCGATGCCGACAAGTCACGCGTTCGCATCGCCGTCCCGGGCGCTGGGCTCGGTCGGCTGGTGTGGGAGTTTGCCCACCGCGGCTACATCGCGCAGGGCAACGAGTTCTCGTACTTTATGCTCCTCGCCTCCAACTGGATGCTCAACCACGTGACCGAGCCCAACTCCGTCACTCTCTACCCCAACACGTCGACGACAACCAACCTCATTAAGCGTGAGCATCAGTTTGCGCCAGTCACCATCCCGGACGTCTCGCCGCTCAACATTCCGGACGACGCGCAGTTCTCTATGGTTGCCGGGGACTTTCTCGAAGTTTACGGTGCGCCTGACGCTGCCGGCGCCTGGGACGTGCTTGCCACCTGCTTCTTCATCGACACCGCCCGCAACCTCTGCGCGTACCTCGACACCATCAGCCACATGCTCGCGCCGGGCGCCATCTGGGTCAATATCGGGCCTCTCCTCTACCACTTTGCCGACATGCCCAACTACATGTCTGTTGAGCTCGCCTGGGACGAGGTCGAGCTTCTCATCACCGAAGCCGGCTTTGCCCTCGAACGCGTCGAGCATGTGCCGTCGACTTACGCCGGCTCGGCTCTGCCGTCGCTCATGCGAGTCGAGTACAACTCGATATTCTTTGTCGCCCGCAAGACCAACGGCTCTGCCGATGAGGAGGAGCGGGCAGCACTTTAGTTTCTACGCCGTAGCCTCGGCCTCATCGCCGTCGCCGCCGCCGCTGGGTCCTCCGCTGCTTCCTGCACTACCTCCGCCCTGCAGTGTGCTTACAATCGCGTGCTCGCGCGGCATTATGGCATTGGCGAGCGCGATCGCCATCAGTGTTCCGTCCAGCGCCATGTCCACCTTGTTGAACGCGTCCTTAGCTAGCGTCCAGAACGAGTTTCCACATCAAACATGAGCTTCTCCACCGCATACAGCGTATCCGACACGCTCTGCAGCACGTCGAGCTTGAGCAGCGGCGCCCGCGTGCACTCGGCAAACGCACTCGCGCTCTTCTGAGCCCGGGTTAGCACCCGCAGCGCCTCGCCCTTGAACATATCGGCCGGGATCTTGACGACTCGAGCCACGCATCCGCGCACATACTCCACCAGTTGCCGCTGCACCTCCTCCGGCGACGGCTCAGAAGCCTTAGTCCGCCGTCGGCGCTTGCCCTTGTGCGCCTTGCGCACCTTGCGTGCCTTGCCCTCGCGCGTCTTGCTCTCCTTACCATCTCTCCCCGCCGCTTCCGCCTTGTCGGTCTTCCTTGCCCTGCTGTCCTTGGTCTTTCCCGCCTTGCTCTTCCCTGACTTGCCCTTGCCCTTGCCCTTGCCCTTGCCCTTGCCCTTGCCCTTGCCCTTGCCCTTGCCCTGGTCTGCAGCAGCGACCTTGCCAGTCTCTGTACCAACCGCTATCTGCACCTCGGCTTCGGGCTCGGCCGCCGCTGGCGCTGATGTAGCATTCTCATCTGCGGCCTTGCCCGCCTTGGCCTTGTCCGACTTGCCCTTGCCCTTTCCCTTGCCCTTGCCCTTGCCCTTGCCCTTGCCCTTGCCCTTGCCCTTGCCCTTGCCCTTGCTCTTACCCTTGCCCTTGCCCCTGCCCGACCCCACCACACCAGCTCCAACCTCCGCCTCCCCTGCCTCCGAAAGCTGCACCGGCTCCTGACCAGCACCCAGGTCTCCCGCCACCACGGTATCGTCTGCACTGCTCATACTAGCTAGTAAGCTCCCGCCAACCACAAAGTGCAACCAGTTCGCTCTTCTTGCCGTCTACCGCGAGCAGTGTGTCTCGACCCCCCCGTCCCCGGTCGCTCACCCCAGCCGCGGCGCGATCGTCCCAGAGCCTTGCACTCTTCTCTTCCAGTCCTTACATGGACAACAGCGACGTCCGTGCGCGGCTGGCCGAGCTTCGCGCAGAAAAGGATGCGCTAGCAGAGCAAATGCTTGCCCTTCACAGCTCGCTCCAGGACATGACGACGCTGGTCGGCTCCGAGATGCAGGCCCTTGTCACCGCCCTCGCCACCGGCGCTCCCGACCTCGCCGCCCGCATAGAGTCGGCCATGGCTGCAAACTCGGCTATGGACGCGTTTACCACCACACCTGGTCTATCGTCACCGCCTAGCCTCCCGCCTACCGCTTGCGAAGATGAGCCCGCTGTGGATGCGGCTTGGCGCGATCCATCTTGAGCAACGAGGCAAATGACGAGCCGAGCTCGTGCCCATCGGCCGTGTACGTCACCGTCGAGGGCGAAATGCCGGGATAGACATGCGGCGCCACGCGCGCAATGTCGGGGAACGCACGCAGCGTGTACGCCCGCGTCACGCTCTCCAGCGTCGGCAAGAACTCGCAGTACGCATCTGAGGTGGCGAGCAGCGACGGCAGAGGCGCGTCGGCGGGCTGCGAGTCAGCCTTGAGCCGGAGCACATTGAGCATCGTCACGATGAAGCCACGAGCGGACGTCTTGCCACCGCTGACATAATGCTCGATCATGGCATCGAGAAAGCCGCCCGAGCCGCCCAGCAGCGCTCCAAGCGTCTCGTCTTGGTAGTATGACGAGGTGAGGATGCCGGTAAAGATGCGGAAGAACCGCGCGTGGTACACGTTGTTGTGCGGGTGAGCCAGAAAGTGCTTCGACGCCACCCGCCAGAACAGTGGCGTCAACTTGTCAAGCACTCGCTCTGGGACCATCGACACCAAGTTGGCGAGAATAAGCACAATGTCCATGTGCAGCTCCGAGAACGTGGCGTCGACCGTGTAAGCAGAGTACTTGCGCGGCCCGCCCAGCGGCGTGTTGACGAACCCGCGCTCAAGCTCAGGCACAAGCTCTACAAGCTGAGTGCAGAGCGAGTGGAGCATGCAGGCCATCCGTGAAACTGGCGGCGGTGCGTCCGGGTCTGAAAACCCCATCAACGCCAGCGGTGATGGCGCCGTCATCACACGCATGGATCCCTCAAGAAGTGCAGTAACAAGGTTACCCAGTGCCCGTCGCGACGCCAGCGAATACATGTGCGTCGCCGGTGAGCACTCGCTCGGCTCGTAACCTCCCAGCTCTGTCCCGGACCGCGCCAGCCGCTCAAAGTCCAATTCGTCGGGATGCAGGCCAGCCATCACCGCTACAGCGCCAGCAATGAGCCCGCTCTGCTGCGCCAGCGACGACCACAGAAGCTCGGCAGGCTCCTCCGCCGCAAGTGCAGACGTGCACCGAGTCAGAAACTCCGCTGCAGGCTCAATGTCCGCCACGTCGTCCAGCCCCAGTAGCATGTCATGCAGCGCTTGAACTCCCCCAGAAGACACAAACGACGCATACAGTCGATGCTGCAGATCTCCCGAACCCGTCGTTGTCAATAGGTACACCATCGACGTTGACACAACAGGCACGTGCACATACGGCAGCATCCGGAGCAAATACCCCGCGCTCGTCACAGCCTGCAGCACCCGGTCCGGGTACAGTCGCAACATGTGCACAAGCACGCAGTTAAAGTGGTTAAAGTTGCCCTCAGAGTCCGCCTCAAACACCCGAAACAGCTCGTGGATGAGAACATCGAGCTTGACCTTCATAAACCGCGTCATCGCCCCGGTCGGGTTGACCAACAGCGAAACAACCCGGAACGATCGCCGCATCGGATCCTCAGCTGTCCATTCGCGTGCTCGGTACGCCTCAGTGTGCGCTCCTCGGAGCGTCACTCGTCCCGCGCCGCCCGCAGAGCTCGAGCCAACACTCTCGCTCCGCACACGTACGCTTGACCGTCCCGAACTGCTGCGCTGCTGTCGATCTCGCCCTCCTTGTCCACACCGATGCACAAATGACATGAGGTTCTCCGCCATGCCCTCCTGGAAGAAGAACTCGACAGCCTCGTTGGTCGCCACAGGCCGGTCGAGATCAATGACCCGCGTCAGCAGCGCCATTCGCGGATCGTCCTCGACTTCCGCCTCGGCCTCGTCTTCCACCTCGTCCACGTCCTCCTCGCCACCCTCGTCGCCCCATCCCGCTGAGCTCGACTCGGAGCGGCTTCGCACCCGCCCGCTCTCCGTGGCCCCGCCGTCGTCGTCGCCACTCGCAGCCTCGGCGTCGCCCACAGACGCATCCAACTCGTCCACCTTGAGGGCAAACGGATCAACTCCACCAACACCCATGTCCACTCCCTCAAGCATCACTCCATCCGAGGTCACCACCGCAGCCGCGGGTGCGCCCTCGGCAACCTCCAGTGCCGCCTTGCGCTCCTCCTCCTCCTCCCCCTCCACATCTCCGCCGTCTCCGCATTCAGTTTCTGCTTCAGCTCCTCCGTCTCTGGCTCGGCCTGATCGCCGGCCTCTTCCACAACAACCTCAGCTGTATCTCCCTGCTCCATCTTGTCGGCCTGTCCGCGTCCACCTTCCTGTACACGGACACACCCTCCCCCAAGTCGCCCGTCGTACTCGTGAGGCTTGGTTGGTATCGGTCCTTGGACACAAAGCCTCACCGCGCCCCCCCCCCCGTACCCGCACCCCGTACCACTCCCTCCCGCCCCGCTCCCTCCCCCCTCCCCCCTCAACTCCCCCTCCTCTTGTTGCCCATACCTCGGACATCACCTCTGTCAGAGGTGTGTGTCTGCAGATAACTGTGGCTATCAACTAACCTCCTCCCCTGCCACTGCCACAGCCAATGTCCCCCCCCCTCCCCCTCTCTCCCTCCTCCAACAGAACGCTGGACACCGGTGGGCTGAGCGGCTCGTACAAAAGCAGGCCACCAGTGCACATCTCTTCCCGCGCCACTACCAACCTTCACATTACCATCACCATTATGGCCCTTCCATCGCACAACATCCGCATCGTCTCCTTCAACGTCCTTGCCTCCGAGTACTCACGGTTCAACACAGACTCGGGGAGCCACGAGTCCGACACCGCGGCAACAGAGCGTTGGCAACGGATCGCAGACCTACTTGCCGGCGATCTCGCCGCGGACGTCATCGCCCTACTTGAGGCTACTCTTCCGTTTGTTCGCTTCCTTGCTACAGTGGGTGGGTCCGATCCCGACGCTGTGGCCGAGAACGCTGTCTTCTCCATCTCGATCGGCCAGACTAGCTATTGCGCCGCTGTCGCTCTCCGCCGTGGCAAGCCTGACGGTGCCGCCCTCCTGTGGAAGGCTGACGTCCTCGATCTTGTCGATGAGTCGACCTATGGCATCATTCCTGTTCACTTTACAGCTGCTACCCGGACGCCGCGCATGGCGCTTGTCGGCCTCTTCACTGTCGCCCATGCCCCCGCCGACGCAGGCATCCTCGCCATCGCCGCAACGCATCTCGAGGGAAATCCTCGCCGCTCAGACGTCCGCGCTGCTCAACTAGTTGAGCTAGCCTCTGCTATGCACAACGCCGCTATTGCGCTTCATCCCACAGATGCCGAAGACAAGACCACATTCGTCATCGCCGGCGACTTTAACCACTCCCTCGCCCGCATCGACGGCCTGGACGCCGCCCTCGCCCCGCTTGGGCTGACCCGGCTAACCGGAGACGACATTGCCATCACCTTTACCCAGCACAACTCGCGCTCAGACTCGGGACCCATTCAGAAGACCATCGATCACATGTACATCGCTTGTTCCCCGCGTTGGACACCAGGCCAGCTCGACGTCTCGCCACCGGATCGCGCAGGCCGCGACGCCCCCTACCACGATCATTGGCCGTCTGACCACTTTGCCATCGAGACAACACTTGCCTACCTGCCGGCATGAACTGAGACTGCGGCTCACGACACCAGCGCTCCGCCTGTCCCTGACGGTGGCTTGTACGCCGACGGGAGCAGGAACGTTTGCAACGCATTAAACGCATAAGAGTGCCGCCCGATGTTGAGGAAGGCGTTGTCGCGACGGACCCCATGAGCCCGCATCAGCGTCTCGGGTGTGACTCCGTCCACGAGCGCGTGCTTCTGCTGAAGGACTCGTGACTGCTCGAACGTCACAGACATGGAAGTCCGGTCCTTGGCAGACTTGCACACCGTGACTCGGCCACCTAGCAGTGTCCGAGTCAAATCCGCCGCCCGAGTCAGAATCTGGGCGTTCTTTTCCGACCGCGACGACTGCACTTCGTCTGCCAGCCCTTGCATGCTCGCGTTGATCTCGCTCAGCTCCGGAAGGACCCTCATTGCAACACTTGTCGCTTCGCCGCCAAAGTGGTACTTGACCCACCGGGAGTAGAACGACTGGAGCCGCGACAGCGACTCGGCATTGATATCTTCTTGTAGCTTAGAGCCGCCGAGCAAGTTGGCCATTGTCTGCATCTCGTTGATTCCCTGCGTAAAGAGCACAGGCACTGTCTCAACCCGGAGCACCCCTCCGCCAGCCTCGAGCCCACCACCGATGCCGCCCAGGACTCTTGCGTCAACCTCAATCTGGAGTACAACGTCAAGATTAAGTCCAACCCGTGGCTCACTCCGGCCCAGGCTCGATCCACCACAGCTGCGGCTCACCTCGAGAACGACAGCACCTCCCTGACCTCTGCAGCGCTCCTCGACACTTGCACTCACGCCCTTAAGCTGCACCACAAACGTGACGCCGGCAAGCGCCCGGATCGCATCGTCCATGTCACCGAGCATACCCAGCTCCTTGCCTTGTGTTGAGAGCAGCGACTCAACTTGGAACAGAAATCCAAGTGCTTCCAGCTGCTGAAGCGCCGCCAGGCCCATCGCACCAGAGTTCTTTGCCACAGCCCACTCGAGATGCTGGGCAAACGAGGTGATCGCTGCCGTCAAAGCCTGAGACCACGCCACATCACGACGGCTTGCCACCCGTAGCCGCGTCACTGCCTTGGGCGTTCCCTCCAGCATTTGCCGGATACCACCAGTCTTGAATCCATAGATGTGGGCGGCAAAGGCCCCGACCGTTGTTGTCACCGTCGTTTCGCACCCCCCATCGTCGCTGACCACTTCCATGCTCTGCACGTGCAGGTTGGTTGGCACAAGTGCAAGCTCTGGGGCACTCTTAAGCGTCGACGGTTTGAACTGGACGCTGGTCTGAAGGGGATGCTTCTGCCCTTGCTCCAGGTAGTTGGCGAGTGTGAGCACGCGGTCACGTGTCGCCTGCACTCGCTCAACAACTCCGGCTGGAAGCTCGCCACGACTGGCGACTGCTCCGTTGATGACCTTGACCGCACCGTCGATCTCCAATTCAAACGCACTCACGGCCTCGTCCAAAAGGAGCAGAGCCAGCTGGAATGGGATGTCAAAGCAGTACTGGGAGACAACGAGCGACTCGGTGATGTGGAGTACACCGGACGATGCCGTCCGCAAAAGTACCGCCGCTCCACCCGCCCTGTGCCCACCACCACTTCCTTGATGTCGTCGATGCTGAGGACACACGACGACTCCACCTGGCCGCAACTCTCGCCACCGATGCGTGCCACTGCAGGTGCTGTGACAGTCGTCCCGGCCACCAGCTGGCTCGGTACAAGCACAAACTCTGCTTCAGCGAGCAGGGCGTTTGGGTCCGGTGGCGTCATCCGCTCACCTTCAGCTGCGTATACCCCGATCCGCACTAGCGTCTCGTCCTCGCCGCTCACCTCCAGCCGTAGTGCAACAGCAAACCTGACCATCCCTCCCAGCGGCTGGACCTCTGTCCGTGCCATCTCCTCTCCGTCCTCACTCCACACCACCACCATACACCCGCCGGCAGATTGACTCAATCCATACGGCATCGAGTAAGTGAACCGCCGGAGCGAGACCCCGGCCCAAACCCGCCATCGTGGGACCGCCTCGTCATCAGCGACATCCCCCTCGCCGCCATCGTGCGATGTGCCAGCAGCACCTGACGGACCTGCCTCGTCGTCCTTGCCTCTTTCTGCTTTTCCATGCATGCTCTCCCCGAGCGCGCGGCTCCGCTTCACAAGCCCAGCCGCGTCGTTGAGCCAGCACGCGGAGCAACAGCGGCGGAGCGCAAAGTCGAGCTCTACCCTCTGCTCGGCTGTTGCCTCCTGAAAGCCGAGAAACGTTCCCTGCGCATCCGGATGCTCTGCCAGTGGCAACGAGTGCTTTGAGCATGCCGAGCAGAAGATGAGCCCGCAAACTCTGCAATGGTGTCTCCGAGTAAAGAGCGAAAACGCTACCCCACACCAATTGCATGCAGAGCTGTCGGCATCGTCCTGCCACGACCCGGACCGGGTCTCCCTCCGTTTGCGGCCCACAGCTCGTAGCCGCGACAGCAAACGAGTCATTCCCCTTCTTCCTCACCACCCTCCTGCCCAAAAGAATCCACAGGCAGGCAAGCCCTTGGTGTGCGGAAGAGTGCCGTGGTGGTGATGCACGCCACAGGTGTAGACCGCTTCGCACACCGAACGGGAGCCGTTCGCGGATCGTAGCTCACAATTCACGCCACTGACGAGCTCACACTACACCATGTCTCCTGCAACGATCAACAGAGCAAACAAGATCCAGCATCTGTTCTGCAGTGCTGGCATGCAGGTCCCTCTTTGTTATTCATCGGTATTACCATCCGCCATGTCTGCCACAGCGTAGACAAGGGAGACAAGTTCTTCTGCATCCAGTCGCTCAAGTTCAGGTCTGAGACTGCGCGGGTCAGCTGATCCTGTTACCACAGCAGCAATCTGTGCCAGAAGCCCGTCAACAATCTGAGGCCCCCCAGCTCGCTTAGCAGCGTCGATGGCGGCAACAAGCGCACTCAAGCCGCTTCCAATGCCGTCCATTGACGCTTGGACAGCGCTCGGAAGAACCTCAGACCGGAAACCAAGGTAGGCATGAGCTTGAACGAGCGAGGCAGCAACAGTAGCATCGGCAAGAACAAGATCAACAGAGCCGGTGTATATGAACTCGACAAGCGCCTGGAGCGCGGTAGCCGTAAGCGGCTCAGCTGCTTCGCCAAGTCGAACCTGCCAATCGTCGCTTGCACCCTCGGCCATGAGCAAGCCGGCCCCACCAATGAGGGCAGCACACATCGGCGAGCGCGCACAGAGCACAAAGGTGTGGACCCGAATCCGAGTCCCATCGTTGGCCACAAGGTCGTAGTCGCCGGTTTCGGCAGCGTGTTCCAACTGTTGCCTCATTCGGTCAATCCTCAGTGCCTGCTGGCCGAAGACAGGAGGCCGTGAGGCATGGGCTCGCATGAGGCCGGCAAGTGCAGTGGGTCCGAGGCTGCCCAGCTCGGACGAAGCCAAGAGCTCGTCCCATGCCCCAGGCGGATCTAAGAGGCATGTGACTGCCACATGGTTGGCAAAGGCGTCGAGGCCTGCATCCAGAGCACTTGAGTACACCCGTGCAGCGTCAATGACGGACACCCGTCCGTCATCAGCATGCAGCGTCTTGCTCGCCCCAACTGCAATGTACTCAGCAAGAATCGTGCCCACAAGAGAGCAACGAGCAGGCCACCCAGAGGCAGATGCCGGCGTAACACCGCCGCTCAGAGCCATAGGAACTCCAAAAGGAGTTTCATTCCGCGCTTCTGGGGCAAGTGCGGCAAACGCTGTGTCGAGATCATCCGCCAGCGAGAGCTTGTGTGGCAGTGGCGGGAGATGAACCCGGACCAGCCCTTGATCTAGCCCGTCCACCATAGTTCCTCCCATAGCCAGGAGAGTTCCTGTGGAACTATCGACGTCGGCGGCATGGAAGCAACGGGAGTTCACCGGCGTTGTGTCGACCACCTCCCATCGGCCCTCGGCCACGTCACAACGGAGAAGAGTCGCACAGAGCTGGGCACTGGACTCGCCGCCAAAGACATAAACAGCACCATTATACCAGTGGAGTGTATGGCCGGTCCGGCGCTCAACCTCCATGCCACAGGTAGCCACACGTCGCCACGCCGGTGCATCGCGGCTGGCACCGTCGAGCGCATACAACGTTGCCGACGACGCCACACCCGCATGGCCCGAAAAGAGGTACACAACATCAGACTCGGGATCGTATGCTACATCTGTGTTGCATGTCGGCGGCGGGCCAGAGCCGCCGCCGTTGTCGAGTAGCTTCTTCCACACCAGGCGCACGTCGGATCCCGGACCTTCGGTCCTCGCCACCGCCAGGCGCCACGTGTCTGCCAGGCGCGTTGTGCCCGAGAAGCCACCAAACACAACGACCGCATTGCCTCCAACAACTGTCGCCGCGTGCCCCGAGCGGCTGTCCGGCCGGCCAGCAATGGGATCGTCCTCCACGCTGGCATCGATCCACTCGCGCGTCTCTACATCAAAGGCGTAGACATCGTTGAGATTAGCGCCGGCTGCAAAGCCGCCAAAGACAATGATGACGCGGGCATCCGCCACATAGCTTGCAGTGTGAAAGTAGCGACTGCTCGGCTTGTGGTCGGGCTCGGCCTCCCTCCCACGGCCTCTAATGCTCAACCAGCCACCATCAGCAGCTGCATGAACCCCAACCACCCACATGTAGTCCTCTGCCGCCCGCGAGTTATCGCCACCAAACACGCATACCATCCCCTCCTCCCCACCCACCCACGTCAGCGAGTGTCTCTTGAGACCAGGAGGGCCCTGCCTTTGTTCCGTATTGTTGGCCATGTCGCTCGAGTGCGAGTCAGGTGACCGCGTAGAGCAGACAACCAAACAGGCTACGCAGTCGGAGCAGAAGTGGCCTAGCGGTGTTCTGTCCGCCCTATTGAGCCCACCGCACCCAATCGCGCCCGCCCAATCGCGCCCGCTGCGCCCAATCGCGCCCGCTGCGCATGGTGGCTCCACGGCTACCGCTATTTTTCTCATGGCTCCCGCCGCAACACAGCTATGCAGGGACCTGATGGTGTCTGTCCTCCATTCGGAGGATTTCTCGTCGGCCATTGAGCGAGCCTAGCCGCATGGTGGTGTGGCTACTGCTCTCGGCGGACTCACACGACTTGATCCAATCTCAAGCGCGTGGCAACTGTTGTGGCCAACTCATCACTACTGCAGACAAGGACCCGTGTCAAACTCTCAACCCATCCGCCTTTTCCAATCGCTCTGCACCCAGCCAGTCGCCCGCACCTCCGCCAAGTCGTGCCGCTTCGCCCTCAACCGCAACCCACCTGTCGACACCCTACCGACCACTCGTCCACTCACACTCCTCTACATACTTTGAGACATACTATGGAAAGCGCGCACTGCAGCTTCCCACTCTAATTGTGCTGTGCTTCACCTGGGTAGGCCCCCCCCCCCCCCCCCCTTTCTCCCCTCCTCCCCTTGGTTGCTGCCGTTTGTTCATTTGCCATCTTTGTTCGGTAGCCGAAACGTCACCCCGAGACTCACACAGAACACCAAACGCGCATTACCGGGTCGTCATCACTTTCTTCTGGCCCCGATACAGGCATGTGGTGTGGTGCTGCTGAGTCTGACTCTTTCGCAGTATGATGGGTTCGAGTTTGATCGACCTGTGGATCTCAAGGCAAAGGCCGATGGTAACGTCATCGAGGTCGGCGGCTGGGCCCTAGTCAACCAGCGGCTGCGGTACGGAACGTCGCTGTTGGCGATTATGCTCACGATGGCCGGCATGGTAAGCGTTTGGCGTGGAAACAAGGCCTTGGCTTTCCCGCTGGCAGTCCTTCTCCTCTTTACCGGCTTTCTGGCGGTGGCGGCAACAGTCATCGACTCGGTCGACGTCCGCGACGCCCGCGATCGTCTGTGCTCACTCGCCACGTACTCGTGCAAGGGCCCGCAGTATATCGCCACATGCGTTTTTGACGCTCTTGTTGCTGCCTTCCTCATTGCGGCTGCCGCGTGCCTCTTCTTCCTCTACCGTATGCCCGCGCGCCGCCAGACCCGGACCACTCGAATCGAGTCCGAGTCGGACGACGGCGTCAACCTCCCGATTGTGCCGGCGCCGACCACGCAGCGGTCGTCAAAGCCCGGAAAGACTGAGCGCGTTGCCGAGGCGCGCCGCGTTCTCACTTCGATGCGTCCTACCCTTGGCATTGTTGTTTCCAACTCGGTCGACGAGGACGGCGTCGCCGTCACCGACGTACTGCCGGGTAAGGCTGCCAAGGCCGCCGGTCTCAAAACCGGAGACGCCATCCTATCCATCGGCGCCATGCAGACCAACGACCATGAAGACTTTGACCGAGTCATGGCCGAGGCCTTCCCCGGTGAGTCCGAGCCGGTTGTTCTCCAGCGCGGCGGCTCGCGCAAGAACCTCAACGTTACCTTTGGCGGGCACTACGATGGTCGCTCGTACACCGCCAAGGAGATTCGCCACCTGCGCAAAGAAGCAGGCGCAGACTGGGTCATCGCCCAAGAGGAGGATCGCAAGGGCATTGCGCCGATTCCGGCTCCCTAAATCATCATGCCCCCCATGCCATGTCTTATGATGACGACGACGAGTCCAGCTCGGGCTCGGTGTGCGTCTCGTCTGTGATGGACACAACTTCTACCCCGGTGATTGGCCGCGACGAGACGGCCAGCTGTCCCGCACGCCGCGACCGCGCCGGACGTGCAGGGCTTTGCCTTTCCCCGCGTGCCCGCGCTGAGCTCGCCGAGCCGCTTGACCACGTCCGCTCGTGGTGTGATGGGCTTGTTGGCGGCTCGGCTGCGTGTGCAGCTGCCACAGCAGCTGCCACATGCGGATCGGCTCCCACGCTGATGACCTTGCGAAAAACAAAGATGTGCGACGATTCTTGACCCCACGAGCCGCCAGACCCATCACCCGAAGACGTCATCAGCTCCCAGCCCCACGCGGCCGCCGTGTTGAACACGTCAGCCAGCGAGTGGTTCTTGATGTACCAGCCCTCGCGCGGATCGCCGTACACTGTCGACGCCGGAAAGACCCGCACCGCTGGCGGGTATGTGCCGCCATTGAGAAACGACATGGCTGCCGGCTCGATCGGACCCTTGACCAGAATGGGGTACACCGAGTACTGAAACTGGGAATCGTGTGATCGCGTTGTGTGCTTGATCGTCGTGTACGTCGTCACATGCTTGCGCTGCGCCTCGCCCTTTGACTCGCTCAACGGCGAGAGCAGCGCTACCAGCGACGGAAGGTCGAAGAACTTGGCCTCTTCTAGAACGCCCTTGTACGATATGCTGGGCGAGACAATGAGCTTACCCATGCGGAGGTAGTTGAGAATCGGCCCAAAGAACGCTGGATCTCGATCCAGCAGAATGGCTCCGGTCTCGTCCTTGGTCGACACCCACTCGCCCGACGCCAGCGCCGCCAGCATCGACGACGGCTCCATCCGCAGCGTTGTCCTCGTCGTCGCAAACATCGTTCCACCCACGTTGAGCTGGATCCACTCCGAGTCTGACTCATGCTCGCCGTGACCGCCGTTCGCCCCTCCCACGCCGTCACCTCCCCCGGCGGTCTCTGCCATTGTCGGTGGCTCTGCCGCCATCTTGACCATCGCCTCGTCCATCGCCGCCATGTCGCCGCCTGTCGTGCTCGACTGGCTCGACCTGCTTGATCTGCTTGACCGCCTTTGAGCGCGAAGCACCTTCTGGCCCTCTTCCCACGTTCCACAAGCCGCAACCTTGACTTTGTCGGTCAAGTGTCCTGCACCCGCCTGTTATGCCACCGACACCGTCCGCTGTGGCCTCGTGTCGAGGCCGAACGAGTTGAACAGCAGCCGGAGCGAGTGGCGGACTCCCCTGGCGGCTCGTTCTGTCTTTGGCCGGCGGCACCAGCGCCAGCACCACCAGCACTTCCCTCGCTGCGAAGGGGGCTCCATCCCAGAGTAAGCAACCCATAGCGGAGGGTGCGGCGCAACGTAGTGCAACGCATCCCTAGAGTGGGACGAGGGCGCATGGCACACCGCGCCAAGCGCGAGAGCGTGGGCAAGCCGTTCTACATTCTACCCCCCCTCCCCCCTCCTCCTCCTCCCCTTTCATACGCATACCCTTGCATGTGCTGTCATCCTCCCATACATATGCAGCGCAGCGCATAGCTTCAATGTCGTGGCTCATGGCCAGCCGGGCCGGGCGTGGGGCTTTGACCCGAATGGCGATCGATCGTGGTAGCTGTCACAAGGCCGGCGAATGTGGTTCACGACCTTTTCCGGAGCGCACGCGCTCGACGTCGCACACTCACCTCGCGAACATACTAGTCGGGATGAGTGCTGATGCGCCGAATCGGGACTCGCTAGACAAGCTGCAGGCTGCAGGTTTGCGTGGGCTCTCCCCTTCTCTTTGGCAAGCTATGCTTGCGGCAGACTGTGGCGTGACTGCCGAGACGGAGGAGATCGACACGGTCAAGGATGCTCTGGTGGCGTTTTGTGAGAAGCGGGCGGCTTCGGAGGTCGAGGGAGTGACCCTGTCTAGGGATGATTGGATTGAGGTTGCCAGCTCGTGTCTGAGTCACAACTTTGCGGCCAGCCTGTCCGTGGCTGGATTTGTGGACTTCATGCTCACTACTGCAGCGCGGGAGGCTCAGGCCAAGGCTGAGCTGGAAGCGCAGATTGCGGACAAGGATGCCGAGATTGCGGACAAGGATGCCGAGATTGCGGACAAGGATGCCGAGATTGCGGAGCTCAAGGCGATGTCACAGGTGTCCCCGACGTCGAGACTCGAGGTGCCGTACTTGAAGCCAGTGCGGGCCAAACACTTTGCGGGCGTTGTGCCGACCGGTAGCCGCTGGGTTGCCTCGCCCGAGCTTCTTCTTGCGCCAATGCTGATGGGTGAAGTGGTGATGGGTTTGCTCTCTCTTGGGACCAGCGGCACGGCCTCACTGGAAGTGCAGCATCTGGATGACATCCCGGATGCGTGGACAGGCTTTGTGGCATCTGGCCTGCGTAAGGCGAACACGATCGGAAGCACCGTAGTCTGCCACGAGCTCATCAAGGCTACCTTACCGCTGTTTCGGGGGCTCAGCAACAACCACAAGGTCCAGTCGTTCTACAGAGGCTCGGTTGGCGTGGCAGCGCTCGAGTCATCGTTGACTCATCGAGTGTGCGAGGGTCTGGGTCACGTCTTTGCCAACCAGCAAGGGACACGGGCTGGGTTCCACTCGTCCAGCTCTCAAAGCACATTCTCTGTGGCGTCACCTGTCAAGACCAACCCGAGCCACACGGACCGTGCACGTGCGAAGCGAACCGCAAGCTCTTCGTCACGTAGCCACGAGCCGCAGACGTCCGGGCTGTACAGCAGCGCAGCCCGGATGAACATTGGGCGGGAGATTGCGGTCTCACATGGGCAAGGTTGGGACGGGGTGAGACCAGTTGACACCCAGCTCAGCACCAAGGTGGATGTGCTGTTTACGTTTGAGGAGAACGAGATGGTGCTGCCATTGGGACTGTGGGAGCCTGGATTCGATCCCAAATCGGCCCAGTGTCCGATCACCATGCACAAGAGGAAGCAGGCCTACGGCTACGCGCACAACCTCACGCGGGCCTCAGCGGGCTTTCCACACACAATGGCGCTCGTGGCGCTGCGGTCCGAGTACCCGACGCGGGCCAACAAGGCTCTGCAGGTGCGGACGAAAATGGCAGTCGACGGCTATGTGCTCCAGGCTGAAAAGTGCCGCGCGCTTAAGGCCAAGGCCACCGACGATGAGCCTGTTGA